TTTTTTTTTTGGTATCGGGGATCGAACTTGGGTCCTTGTGCTTGTGAGGCAGGCAGCAGAACCACTGAGCTAAATCCCCGGCCCAAGAGTTTGTTTGTTTTTTTGTTTATTTTTTGTGTGTGGGTTTTTAATAAATCGGCTTTAAAAATGGAATTCACCTTAGCAAACACATCATGTGTGTGGCGTTTGATGTTGAATGACCGTTTGATGTCGAGTGCCTTTGCTTTCCTGTTCAGTAGTGTCTCACCATACTGAACGGGGCTGGCTATAGCCAATTACGTAGTTGTATAAATCTTTCCCTCCTTATTAAATATTCCTACTTTTGTAGTAGGGCATGAGACTAACAGTAATAGTAGTTGGCCATTTTGCTTAATTTTGGGGAAAAAGCGGTTCAAAGTTTCACAACCAAACTTGGCCTGGTGTTGCTAGCAGAGCACTTTTGGATTATGGTTGAGGTTGCTCTGTGACAACTGTCAGGAGCAGTCGGGCCTGTGTGGCAGGCACACTGCTAAGTGTAATGTTTCATTTGGTACTCCGTATGTGCAGTGTGCAGCGAGGTCACTAGCAGTCACGGGTAGCTTTTAAAGTTGACATGAACTAAAATGAAGTAAAATTACAGTTCCAGGCCAGTAATGTAGCTCAGCGAGTGGCACAGCACCTTCCTGGCAAGCGTGAGGCCCCGAGTTTGATTACTGGTACCAAAAAAAAAAAAAGTTCCCTTCCTCATTCACATTAGCTGCGTTGAAAGTGTTCAGTACTCACTGCTCATATGTGGCTGGCAGCTTCTGTATCCAACATCGCAGATACAGAGCATGTTTGTCACTGTAGGAAGTTTTATTGGATGTTGCTATTCTGGAAGTTGAACTGAAATTAATACTTCCTGGCTTTAGAGTTAACTCAGAGATGAAAGACAGACATCAACTTTTTGGGCTTTTTTTTTTCCTTACTGGGGGTTGAACGCAGGGCCTTGTTCATGCTGGGCAAGTGACCTCCCACTATCCTGCATACCCAGCCTGAGAGACACTGACTTTCAAAGCAAGAGAAGAGTGACCTCCCCTGAGCAGGTGCTCCGTTCCTTTCTGTCTGGAATCTCACACTGAGTGTTGCTGTATTGAATAGATTGTTAACCAGGAGATGGCGCTGTCCCAAAGAACTGTGAATTAAAGTCTGTAACCGTTTCTCCCCTCACACACTGAAGGCCAGTAGCGGGTCTGAGAGTGGGAGCCCAAAACGAAGAGGCCAGAGGCAGCTGAAAAAACAGTAAGTCTTTCCTGGGGGAAATTACGGAATCTGGTAGTGCTTTGAATGTGCTCGCATTTTGGGGCCAGCCTTGATGGTTTTCATCTGTCTGCACCACATCCCCGAAATGGCTTCTGTCTGCCACGAGCTCGGGTGACCGTGTCCTGCCTGCTGCCGCAGCAGCATCCTGAGCCAGGTTCCCTGTCTAACCACAGAGGGCCCCACATGCTGGCTGGTCTCCAGCTTCCTCCTCCGTTTCTCATATTAGTATAGATGGTTTTTTCTTAAAATGTGAATAAATATCAAATATACATAAATTTGGCATCATAGTTAAATAAGGAACAAATTTAAATTTTCCAGTTTTCATATTCATTGGTTTTTTGTGTTGCCATGACCAAGTTATATTGGCTGAGCAGCTGTTTTGGTATAAATTACATATTGTGGGCTGTGGTGGCTCACACCTCTAATCCCTGCACTTGAGAGGCTGAGGCAGGAGGATTGCTGTGAGTTTGAAGCCAACCTGGAGTACAAAGTGAGTTCAAGCCCAGCCTGAATTACAGTGAGACCCTGTCTCAAAAAGATAAATAAAATAAGAAATTGCTTATTGTTGTTTCCACATGTTAATACTGTAGTTCATAAGCCAGAAAATTAATTCCTGGTCCTAATATGAAATTAGATCATAATATACATGGTGAAAAAAATTTGTTTTGAAAAAATTTTTTTTTATGTCTTTTTTTGGAGAAGGTGGAATCCCTGGTACTATAGGAATTTGATAGATTCTCAGAAAAATTTAGATACTCAAAACTTTGCATGCTAGTTCAGGGAATCTCATGTTAAACAGTTATCTTTGAGAAGATGAAAAGCTTCCGTTACATAGACTCTGGTCTAAAATTTCTAAGGCGGGTAATTTGAGTTTTAAAAGCCCATTTCCTTATCTACAAAATACAGTAATACTAAGTCTGCCTACCCAGTTATTAGAAACTCTGCTGAGATTTTGTGACATGAAATGTAGACTATTAAAGAAATTTGCAGAAAAGTCAAGTATTTAATATTCTGCTTTGGTACCTCTGGTTTCCGTTTGTGTTTTAAATGTTTACATAGAGTTGGAGAAATGGTAACTGTCAGCAGAGCTGGACCTCTTGGCGTCTTAGAAAGCTTTCATTCTGCCTCAGTCCCATGATCAGGTTGGATACTCTGCTTCCACTGTCTGTTGGCCTTTAGGGGACCTTTGTGAAATGTCCACGGTGACCAAACAGCAAGAAGAGAGCACTTGAGTCTTAGCCAGGGCCCTGGTGCTCAAACTAAACAGCTGTTTCTCCGTGTCCTTCCTGTCTGGGTGTGTGACCTTAAGAACTGAGAGACTCATTCCAAGGAATGGACGTTTTCGTGCATCAGTATGAGAAAGGGCTTTTCTGAAACCTTGAAGATTTGGATTCTTAGATTGCTTAAAGGAATTTTTAGAAGGGAACTAATTTTTTTTTTAACTTTGCATGTGTTTTTTGGATTTGATAATTAACCTTTTTTTTTTTTTTTTTTGGTACTGGGGACTGAACTTGGGTCCTTGTGCTTGAGAGGCAGGCAGCATTCTGCATGTGTTTTTGTTGTTGCTTTTCTGGGTGTGGTGGTGCTGGTGACTCAGCCAGGTCTGCTGTATGCTCCAGCTAAAAACTGATTTAAAAAAATTAATTTCTAACTTGAAAAGCTGCAGGAATAAAACTTTAGTACAAAGAAAGCCTTGCATGCTGTTTTTATACTTAACAGTGATTACCTTTTTTTGTCTCATTTGCTTTATTTTTAAAAATATTTTTCCCAGGGCTGGGATTTAGCTCAGGGGTTCTGGCGCCTTCCTCTTAAGTGCAAAGACCTGAATTTGATCGCCAGTACCAAAAAAAATTATTTCTCATTTGCTGTATCATTGTAGACCCTCCATTCCCTCTCTCTTTCCACATAAACACACATATTTGAACCATTTGAGACTAAAGTTCCTTTTTAATTCCTATAAAAGTTGTATATTTCTTTGCTTTCTTGGGTTTTTTTTTTTGGGGGGGGCACCGGGGATCAAACTCTGGACCTTGCGCTTGTGAGGCAGATGGTGGCACCACTGAGCTAAATTCTTGGCCCATAAGGTATATATTTCTAAGAATAAGGTTAATTTCAACATCGTTGAAGTATTTTTGTTTAATTCATATTCCGGTTTTGTCAGTTGACCCATGTTACTACCACCAGTGCAGGAGTCAGTCTAGGGTTGGATGCTGCACTTAATTTTCTTCCCTCCCTCCCTTCATCCCTTCTTCCTTATATCCCTCCTTTCCTTCGTTATTTCCCTGAGGCACTGGGGCCTTCCCATAGAGCTACCTCCCTGCTCCTTTGTATTTTATTTTGAGACAGGGTTTTACTAAGTCTCTGAGTTGCCTAGGCTAGTTTTGAACTTGGAATCCTCCTGCTTCAGCCCCCAGAGCATTGGGATTATGGGTGTGCACCACAATACACTTCAGGTATCTGGAAAACTTTCATAGCCTTTATTTGCTTTGTGACATTCCTGTTGTTGAAGAATGTAGTTTTAAAAGGCATTATGTTCTTTAGGGAATTATAATGAAACTGACTTTCTAGAGTCATACGGTATATTAATATCATTAAACTTGAAAGAAGTTACACAGCACTTTTATAGTACATAATATTTCTGTGTTTTTGTGAGAAAGTCTGTCAGTGCTTGTCCATGTAATCTCCATGGCCATGGGTTCTCTTCTCCCTTTTGGCAGTCCTTGGGTCCTTGCCTAGCTCCAGTAGGTATTTAAGATTTTAACCCCTGACTTTAAGTCACACAGATGAACAAAACTCTGAATTTTATTTAAAACTCACTCATGGTGTTGTAAGTATTGAATGATTTTTTTCATGCAACATCTCTTAATATCATCTAAATTGGGGCATTGTCTGACGGGCTTTCTGCAGACTTACGGTCCTGGTAGTGCTAAGAGACACTGTAAGGGTTCCAAAACAGATCTCCCAACAATAATGTTAAATATTTTTATCCTAATAACGCCAGGTTTTTCTGCGGGATTGTAGTTTCTTATTCCTTTCCAGTGTTTTGAATTGGGAATCTGTCACAAACCTGTGACACAGTGGAAGAGAGTCCTGTGAGTCTCAGAGTGGAGTCATTGATGACAGGTGCTCTCGCTTGTGGAGATCTGCTGAGAGTCGAGCAAGTTCAAGCAGCTCTTTCCCCCTTTCCTGATTGCCTTCTAAAGTGAGGAGAAAGGGAGTCTCTTAGCGACATTTAACAGTGAGCCTTTAGGGGCCAGGATTCAGCTCAGTGGTAGCCGCCACCTTTCTTGTAAGTGCAAGGTCTAGAGTTCAATCCTTAGTATAAGCAAAAACCAAGCAGCCAACCACCCTTACTTAACAGTGAGCCTTTGTACCTCTGGACCAAAGTTCAGGCTCATTGTACTTGAAAGTGGCCCATGCTCATTACCTGCTCTGCAGTTGCTTAAATTCAATTTGCCCCTCTCAAAACTTGTGTTCTGCCAGCCATCTTTAACCCCAGAATTTACTAGATCCAGTTACCTTGCATTAGACTCCTTTCTTTTTTATGTGGCCTTAGAGCCTCACTGGCTAAATCTTGGTATTTTTCTCCTCAATTCTGAAAATTTAGGAAAAAATTCCATTGATTTCCTCTTAAAAATGGGTATAAAATTTAGGTTTCTTTTGGTATAGGAAAACAGTGTTTATTTACGACCATCTGTCTTAGCCTCCTCTTTGGATTTTGTTGTTGTCATTGCTGTTTTGGTACCAGGGATTGAACTTCGGACCTTGTGCCTACGAGTCAGGTGGCAGAAGCACTGAGCTAAACCCCCAGCTCACTTGAGACAGGTTCTCACCATGTAGTTCAGGCTCGTCTTGAACGCACTGTGTAGCCCATGATGGCTTCAAATTTGTATGGATCCTCCTGGCTGGTAATACAGGTGGGTGCCACCGTGCCCAACTTAGACTCCTCTTTGCAGTCAGAATTATAGACCATGGCTTAGTTGGAGTGGTGAGGATCTTCTAACCCTTGGAGTTTTGTAGGAAATTAGACAGGTTGGAGAGCCTTGTGCATCTGTAGGGTCAGGAAGTAATCTCATAATGATAATCTTTTTACCTTACCCTTTCTACAGGGTGATTTAATGCTGCTGATTCTTCTTTTCTTGTTCATGGAAATTAAAATGTAAACTAATGCAGCAGCTAGTTTCAAACATAAACAGCATGCATTCAGGCCTTTTCTACCTCAGTTGTCCCCGTGCTCCTGGGATTGGCCAGCTGGAGGTTTGTTACAGGGTGCACAGTTTACTCTGGCTGGCCTTTAGTTTCATTCTGGAAGGAGAGTTTAAGACCAGTTGATTTGCCAAGATTTGTCCCCCCCCATTCTTATATTGGGAGAATTTAAGTCCCTCTAGTTGTCTCTAAGTTAGAAATTTGATTTTTTGTTTGTTTGTTTGTTTCTGAGGATTGAACGTGGGAACTTGGGCTTGCGAGGCCCGTGTTAATTACCACTGAGCTAAATCCCTGGCCCTGTAAGTTAGAAATTTGAGCGGAGAGCTCTAGCTCAACACACATCTTCTTCAGTGTTTGCCCCCATTTTAATCTCTTGTAATTGGAGAGGTGGACCTGTTGGTGGTTCTGGTTTAGATTCTCACTTCCTGGAAGGAGATATGTAAATTAGAACTAGAGCTCAACTGTGGATCTTAATCACCTGATCTGTGCTCTTTTTAAAGTCTTAATTGTTCCTATTCTTTCAAGCCTCTTTCCTGTGAATCTCTTCTATCTAGCATGATACAAAGCTCCATCTGAGGGGAAACTTGGTCCAGTGAAGAATGTAGACCCAGATACCAGTCTCATAGTTGTGGGAACATCTTCCATCCTGCCGATCACCTTCTATAACTTGGATTCTTTAGCAGACATTTATTTTATTGGGCTCTAGGGAAGCAGAATAAGACAGGTACCCAGCATGGTTGGAGACAAGGTCTTTGTTTTAAGGAGAGTGATGGATATTAACTGATAGTAGGTTCTACTGCCTTTGGAGTCTTCATCCAAATGTGCCCTGCTTGTCTGACTGAGACTGATATGACTCATTCCTTAGTTAATGTCTGTCTTAACAGGAGCATTTCCTGCTAAGCTCTGGTACAGAGGTGAACAAAATAGATACGGCATGCAAGAAGTTGTCTACCACTAGAGAAATGAATGTGAATACCTAATAAAAGTACCAGTCCTATTCCAGTTCAAATATAGAAAGGGTACTTCATGCAGCTTTTAGGAAAAGTCTCAGGAATGTGTAGTCAGCCCCTTCTTGGAGCAAGTTTTCACTGTTATTTTGACCTGTTCTGCTGTGAAGAATATTGATTTGACTTTGCAGTTCTGTAACACACCTTATTTCCTGTAAAGGGACCAGAGGCACAGTGCTAATTGTTTTGTTTACAGAGAAATTGCAGGCATTGCCTGCCAGTTTTTTCTCGGTATTTAGTAGATAGTAAATATTCCTTTCCTTACCTCCCTACAATTGAGAAATGAACTAGGTATCCCTGAGATACCTTGTTTGGTCTTTATGAGGACATCTGTAGGTTGTGGGTTTTTCAAGATGTCTAAGATCTCAAGGAGTGAAAAAAACACACATGTAGTAATTACTCAAATCTGAACCATTACCTGAACATACTATTTAGTGGTCAGTTTGTAATTCAAAAATAATTTCAGGACTATTTCTATTTTATTTTATTATTTATTTATTTATTTATTTTTGGTACCGGGGATTGAACTCAGGTCCTTGCGCTTGCAAGGCAGGCCACCGAACCGTTGAGCTAAATCCCCGGCCCAAGTTTATTTCTTTTTGAGACAGGGTCTTATTACATAGTTCAGATGGACCTTGAACTCACTATGTAGCCCATGCTGGCCTTGAACCCAATGGCAGTCTTCCTGCCTCAGCCTCCCAAGTATATTTCTTTAAATATATTCTAAAGCCTTAAAATATTTAATATAATGGTTCTTAATCAGTTTATAACTATTAACATCATGTGTAGGTTTGTTAAAATTCAAAGTTTTAGGCCTCACCTGAGATCTCCTTAATCTGAAACACTACGACTGGGGCCCAGAAATCTTTTTTAAGAATCCTTCAGGTAGTTCTGATTCATGCTAAAATTTGGGGACCACTGGTTGGTATGTATTATAGCTTCGATCTTGTTCATGATATAGTAGTAAATCAAAAAGGAATTTGAGAAACTTAACAGCATTTTCCCCCTAGAAAAAATGGTTTGAAAAATACATCCATAGTTTCCTTTTTTATGTACTTTGTTACCAGAGATAAAATAGGAATAGATACTATGAAATTCCACTAGATTTTGAAAGGAGCTAAAGTAAATCTCTTTGGCATGCTGTGCATTTCAGATGAACAGATTGCAGTTTATTTTGTCAGACGGCTTAGCTTGAAGAATTCTTTTAGAAAAAAGTTATTTTGTTTTTGATTTTGATTGCAGAGAAAAATGGAAACGGGAGCCATCAGAAGACGAACAGGAACAAGGCACCAGTGCGGAGAGCGATCCCGAGCAAAAAAAAGTGAAAGCCAGAAGACCCGTGCCCAAAAGGTGCACTGTTTGCTTCAGAGTCCTGATGGCTGAGCTGGGCAGGGTGACGTCAGGGTGGGGCGGGTGCCGTGGTAGACAAGTTGTGATTCTGGGTCGGGTCCCCTGCTCGCATGGAGCCAGCCTGTGCTGGCCCTGACTGATCCCTGTGGGTGTTCCTTCACGTAGAGGTGGCTGTCACAGCAGATCTAAATGTCTGTGCCGTCAGAGCGGTCCGGTTACAGGAGCGTTGTGTGGAAGCATGTCTTATGATTTAAGTATTCTCCCTGTGTGTTTGGCCAGGGTATGCATTCTTTTTTGGGAGATTGATTGTTTTGTTTTTGGTGGTGCTGGGGACTGAATGTAGAGCACTCACCCTGAGCTCTGTCTCTAGCCCTTTTGAATCTTTTAATTTTAAGACAGGGTTCTCACTAAATCAAAGAGTTAGTTGCCTGGGCTGGGCTGGGCTTTAAGTTGCGATCCTCCTGCTTCAGCCTTGCAGTGTTGCATTACAGGTGTGCACCACCATGCCCAGTTAGGAAACCTGATTCCTTGTTTTTTTTGGTTTTTTTTTTTACATAGACTCTTTCATTTTAATTTTTTTAAATTTTCTTTTTTTACTAGCATGTTTGTCGTACATAATAGTTGGTTTGTGTACATAACACGTTTTAGTTTTTTTTTTTTTTTTACACTTGATATCAGCCAAAAGGCTGAGAACCGATTTTAATACTTTTTAAAAATTCTCTTCCCTTCCCTCCATCTCTTGGTCCCCCTCTTATTTGAGAAAGATCCATCTCCCTATTTTCTGTGATCTGTCTTTTTTTTTGAATCTATCTTTTATTTGCTTTTTATTTATATTTTGGATTTCCCATGTAAGAGAAACCATGTGATATTTAAGCTTGTGGGTGTGATTTATTTCACTTACATTATAGTCTCAACGTGCATTCATTTTCCTAGAAATGACTCAGATTTACCCTTCTTTATCACAGAGTAGTACTCTGTTGTGTACAAATGCTATATTTTCTTTATCATCTAATCTGTTGGTGAACGTAGAGGTTGCTTCTAAGATTTAGCTATTATGAATTGTGCTGGTATAACATGAGCATGCATGTATCACTGTGGTATATTTTTTAACTCCTATGCAAGATACCTAGAAGAGGAATATGTGGGTCAAATTGAATTCCTACTTTTAGTTTTTTGAGGAATCTGCATACTGATTTCCATAGTGTTGCATTAATTTATATTTCCACCAACAATGCAAAAGGGCCACCCCAGGCTTCTGCACCTTTTGTTATTTTGGTTTACTTTGCCTCTCCCCTCCCATCCCTTCTCCCATCTTCTTGATTTCTAAGCCGGCTATGTAGTCCAGGCTTGCAGCAGTCCTCCTACCCACATGAGCCTGCTGAGTGCTGGAATCCGTTCTTCAGGGCTTGTTTGGAGGTTCTAGCAGGGGGAGTGCAGCTATTTGCCCTTGTCTGAGGAAAGGGTCCTTCTCTTTTGGTGGGTGTTACGTCCTTGGATCAAGCACAGAGCTTGGGGGAGACACACATGGAGCAGTGAGGGAGGAAGGAACACCCAGCCAGATCAGCTGGACCCTGGTGATCAGTGGGTGACCTGTCATAGCCAGATCGCCCTCGCATCCGATGATAGCTGTTCTTTCTGGAGTAAGGTGGAAACTCAGTACTTCTGTAGTGGCCAGTGACATTGAACATTTTGTCACATATTTATTGGCCATTTAAACAAATTCTGAGAAGAGTTGGGGTTTTTTCTTTTTTCATTTTTTTTTTTTTTTTGATACTGAGGATTAAACTCAGGACCTTGTGCTTGTGAAGCAGGCAGCGGAACCACTGAGATAATCCCCGGCCCCAAGTTTCCCAGTTTTTGATTGTGTCTTTTTTATTTTTTTGAGGGTTTAAATTTTTTTTGAATTCTTCATTTTCTAGGTATGAGTCCTTTGTCTGAGGAAGAGCTGGAAAAATTATTTCCAGTTCTTTGTTTTGTCTCTTTTCCCTTGGTGGTTCCTTTACTGTGCAGAAGCTTTTGAATTGACATGATCCCACTTGTTTATTCTTGGTGTCATTCCTGTGTTACTAGGGTTCTGTTCAGAACATCCTCACCTATGCCTGTGTCATAGGCTTTTTAACTGTTTTGTCTTCCAGGAGATTGTTTCTGCTTTAACATTGTTTTGGGGAGATTTGAGACAGGGTCTCACTATGTAGTGTAGGCTGGTCTTGAACTCACTGTGTAGCCTAGGCTGACCTCGTACTTGTGGTAATCCTTTTGTCTCAGCCTCCCAAGTGGTGCGATTACAAGCATGCACCACGGTATCTGGCTGTTTTAGATCTTAACATCTAGATCTTCAATCTACTTTTATTTTAGTTTAGTACATGGTGAGTTATATGGATATATCTTCAATCTTGTGCAGACTGAAGTTTCCTCAGCACATTTATTAAAGAGGCTGTCTTTCCTCCAGTGTATGTTTTTGGCTTTTTTTTTTTGAGACAGGGTCTCACTATGTAGTTGAGACTGACCTGGAACTCCCTATGTAGCCCAGGCTGGTCTTGAGCTCACAGCGATCCTCCTGCCTTAGCCTCCCGAGTGCTGGGATTATAGGCATGGGCCAACATGCTGTTCTTGGCTTTTTTGTCAGTGATGAGATGGCTGACTGTACCTGGTATTGTTTCTGAATCCTCTGCTCTGTACCACTAATCCACATGTTTTCTTTTGTGTTTTTACCACGCTGTTTTTGGAGATTCAATTCTTAAAGTTTAAAATGGAGTTTGAGTTGAGTGTGGTAGTACATGCCTGTAATCCAGCCCTTAGGAAACTGGGGCAGGAAGGATTTCCCCAGGGTCAAGCCCAGTCTGGGATACATAGTTGAGTTCGAGGCCACCCTGAACCACATAGGAAAACCCTGTCTCAGAAAACTAAAAGCTAAAACAATACCAAAACCCCGAACACTGGTACTGCAAATATACCCTAATGAAAGTTAAAACAAAAAAATGCTGGCTGATTTAAAAGTATATTTAATTTTATTACCTTGTTCAAATAATCTGTGTAATTTTAAGTAGAGCATCTGATTGTGTAGAGAAGGAGGTAGGCTGAGATGGCAGCAGATTTTGGTAATTTTTGATCAGATGGATGGTTATCTAAGGTATGGATGTGTCAGGCCTCAGGAAGATTTATCTCCCTGGAGTATTGATTATGGTGCGGGAGAAGGGAGAATCAGTAAACTTTGTGATTGGGCTATTTCTGTCTCCTTACCTCATTTACCTTTTTGTTAGTAGTATTTGATGATTTCCTTATGTGAACTCCTGGACTCTGGCTTTTAATCCTGGCTGTGCATGGGAATCATGATAGGGACCAGTAGACTTTTGGCAACCACAGCCTCTTAGGTGACCTTCCAGGTACATTTTGTGCACATCAAGAAAAATGTAGTCCTTTGCTTTGTTTCATTTAGAACAGATGCCAACTGGGCATGGTGGTGCATGCCTGTAATCCCTGCACTTGGGAGGCTGAGGCATGAGGATCGCCGTTAATGCAGGACAGCCTGCGCTACATAGTGAGTGTGAGGCCAGCTGAACGACATATGAAAACCTTGTTTCCGAAAAACCAAAGCAAAAAATATCCACCAAATACCAACAGATGCTAGCAGTCTCTGCGTGTTTCTTTTTCATCTTGGAAATCTTACCATTGCCCAGAAATTTCATTTTTGTTTTTTTGTGACCACATAGTAATATCTTTAGTTATCAGCTGATGAATAGTGAGAGTTTCTAACTACAGTGAATACCGTATTATGCCCGTCTAGATGTAGTATCCGTGAGATTAATTCCTAAAAGTAAAGTTTTTGTATTTAAGTTTGATGGGTGTTATCAGTTGCCCCTCAAAGAGCTATATACTCTGAGCAAGATAACTGCATGTGCTTTTGCAAGTGGGGTGGTCCTGATTGAAAGCCACTTACTGTCTCTTCTCCCATAACCGATGGAAGTATATGGGCATAGAACAACCTTGGTGTTGGAAATGCAGGTGTCTGGTAAAGGGAAGCAGGAATAGCATTTTTAATATTACTCAGATGGATCCTATTTATGTATTACTATTACATAGATTTGAAGTAGATACCAGATGATAAAATCTTTGCCATATTTTCTCTTATTTTAGAACAGTGCCCAAACCTCGTGTTAAAAAGCAGCCTAAAATCCAGCGTGGAAAAAGAAAAAAGCAAGATTCTTCTGATGATGACGATGAAGATGATGAAGCTCCCAAGAGGCAGACTCGTCGGAGGGCAGCTAAAAATGTCAGGTGATTTGTGTCCCGGAGCTCTGCATTCATTGTTGGGGAGTCACAGCTTAGTTCTGAGAGGGTGAAGGTTATGCATTTGCTAGGTTAAAATAACAGCCTCCGTACGTCCTCAAGTGTTTTGAGCCAGTGCAGTAGGCTGCTAGTAGCAGTTAGTCGTAGAGCAGCTCATTTCAGACTGCTTCAGGTTCATGTCCTTTCTTGGTGGTGTTATTCTAATTCTATAATTCTTGTTCTGATTTTTTGGTGGTACCAGGGATCGAACTCAGGATGTTGCACTTGCAAGTCAGGCAGTGAAACTACTGAGCTAAATCCCTGGCCCCTCTAATTCTATAATTCTTTCAGGGAAAATGTTGGCATTATAGTCTCAGTTTTGAGTTATTCTGAATCATGCAGATGTTTCTGAGGTCCAGTTCATATATTGATATTTGGTTATAATTATTTTATGAAACAGTAATAGACTATGGAGTAAAAAACTATTAACAGTAAAATAGATATATTAAAAAAATTAACATTTTTCCTGATTGAAATTAAAACATTTAATTTTCTAATGTAGCATATGCACATTGTCTTGATCTACTTGGAAATGGTGAAACTGAATTCTAGATATACTTATTACTTGTCCATTACAGTCTGTTAATAAGTACAAACTAGGACTAGGCTTTAACTATGCTGGTATCTTAGCACATTTTCTTATTAACTCTATATATCCCAAATTAAGTTTTTCTTTGTTAGACTCCCAAACTTTTGTTGTTAATATATTATGAAAGGTTATCGTTTATGTTTTATTACTAGTAAGTAACATTTATCAAAATCTCCCATAGTTTGGTAGTACTTAGATTTCATCCTCTTGATATTGGGAGACAAAATCAAGTTGAAACATTTACTCTTCCTTTTGTTTGAAAGAGCAACCGTTTTTCCTTTCATTATTTCTTTTCTTCTTTGGAGGAGTTTCTTTGTTTATTTAGTAATGAGCTGATAACTAAAAAATGCAAAGGAGAGTATGGGTGTCTGAATTTTCTGTATCTTGCTTACACAAATTCGTGTAAAACATTGTTTTTGGTTTGAAATATAAGTTGGCCTTCTTGGATCAGTACTTAGGTAAAAAGACAGCTCTGAGTCCACTGCATGGCAAGTCTGCACAACAGTATGTGGGAACCAGCAGTATTGCTCCTTACTCTAGTGATGTCGTGTGTGGAGGTGTTTGACTGTGGAAGCGTAGTTTCTCATTGATTCAGCATTACTTTTCGTGCAGTTATAAAGAAGACGATGACTTTGAAACTGACTCAGATGATCTCATTGAGATGACTGGAGAAGGAATAGATGAGCAGCAGGATAATAGTGAAACTATTGAAAAGGTCTTAGACTCCAGACTGGGAAAGAAAGGAGGTACGTGTCTTTGGGGAGCAAAATACTTTTTATATCTGCTCAGTAAGGCTCAGATTTTATGCATTTTAAAAAGGTGATGAATGTTAGTCAACATTTAATTTTTTGTGAAAAGTGGGAACTTAGACCTAATTGTCATGTTTCAAGAGCCAAGGACAAAGACATGCATCTAACTTTTTGAGATTTTAAGTGGAACTAGTATAGTGTTAATGTTTATAAAGAAGTGATAGAGTAGAGATACTTGCTGATTAGATATTTGCTTAGTGAGCAAACCTAGGTCTAGTTAGGTCTTACTGAATGTCCTTGTAAAAATATTGGACTGGTTAAATACATACTTGGGTAATAGTTTTTAGGGGTGTGTTTGATGCCAAAGTGGGGCACACCTATAATTCTAGGACTCAGGAGGCAGGAGAATGCCATGAGTTTGAGCACAGTCTGGACTGCAGAGTGAGACCCTGCCTCAAAGGAAAAGAAAAAGGAAAAAGAAATATGTGTTTGAGATATCTAATAACTTAGTTGCTTTAAAGTAACCTTTTCATAAAGAAATCAATAATACTCAATACCTTCGTTTTTGGCCACTTTTTCTGGCTTCATTTGAGGTAAAAGTTAACAAAACTTTGGGAAGGTGGGTGAGTGAGCAGGCTTTTCTTTTTTCTGTTAGATAAAATTTTATTCTAACCTAGAACTCACCTTCCTCCCTTGGCCAGGTACAGTACCGGGTTCATAGGTATGAGCTGCCACGTCTGGCAAGCGCGGAGGGACTTTGATGATCTGTTTTCTAGAAATACTGGGAAAGAGGGATTTCCTTGCTGAATAATTAGGGACCAAAAAGTAGGTTGCTGGTGCTCTATTTTCATTATGTTTTGACAGGATTTCTTCTGCAGGTTTTGCAGTATGTTAAATTGGGTTGGTAGTTTGAAAACGCACGAGATTATTGATTGAGTTCATGCTCTGTTGTGAATTTGTGTTTATGTCAAGTCACAGTGTTCAGTGGTTCATCCAGGAAGACTACACAATTGCTTCCTTGGGAAGCGTTTCATTGTGTGGTTTCATAGCTGCTTTTAAAGAGTACTGAATTCTTCTGCAGCCACTGGAGCCTCTACTACAGTTTATGCTGTTGAAGCTAATGGAGACCCGAGCGGTGACTTTGACCCTGGGAAGGATGAAGGTGAAATCCAATACCTCATCAAGTGGAAGGGGTGGTCTTACATCCACAGCACATGGGAGAGTGAAGAATCCTTACAGCAACAGAAAGTGAAGGGCCTCAAAAAGCTAGAGAACTTCAAAAAGAAAGAGGATGAAATCAAACAATGGTACATCTTCCATCATGAGTTCCAGAGATCTTTCTAGCTTAGGGAGGGGAAGGTTCTAAAATAATGCATGGAGAATACAGCTACTTAAGGTCTTAGATATTTTTCCTTGATCATCTGGGCATGGCCTATGTACAGTTTTGTTTGTAAAATTATGGTCTGAAGACACTATATATTTTTGTAATGCTACTAAGTTTTTAGAACTACTGTCTAGCTCAGTGAGTACTATTCAGTCCTTACAACAGGGGTGTAAGAGCTGTAGTGTTCTTACCCTGTTTTGTAGATGGAAAGAGTGAGGCACAGAGAAACTCTGCAAGTAAAGCAAAGGCCTGAGTTTTGGCAGCTTGAGTCCAGAGCCCATCCTCTGAAGCATCTTGTTATTTTCCTGTGGGAAGGCTGGCATGGCTTCGGTGTGAAGATATGATAGTCTAGAATTCTGAATTATGTATACTTAAAACTAATCTTGGTTTTACCAGTTGACAGGAATTATGTGAGAGTGTTTAAAAAATTTTAGGCTGAATTATAAAACCTACTAAAGGGACACATGCTTTGGGGTTTTATTCTGATATATGTACATAGACCTTTACAATTATCAATCTAATTGATACATGCTTTTCTGTTTTCTCTTCAGGTTAGGGAAAGTTTCTCCTGAAGATGTAGAATATTTCAATTGCCAACAGGAGCTGGCCTCGGAATTGAATAAACAGTATCAGATAGTAGAGAGAGTAATAGGTAAGTACATGGAAACTCAGGTAGCCATGTTGAAACTCAAAAGAATAAGCATTTGCTGTTAGGAAAACAGAAATTAAAATGTGCATTTGGAGGTCTGCTTTTTGAGACTAGACAGATGATGGATAGATTTATTATGAAGAGAAAGCTGACAAGGTGCACTCAAAAATTTGGGTATGGAGAATGAGAAAAAGAGATGTCCAAAATGATGGCGAGGTTATTGGCTTGGATGTAATATGTATAGGAGAATAGAGTGCCATTTACTGACGTGGAAAGATGAAGGGGAGGATCTGCTTTGAGGTGTGGAACTCAGGAGCACAGTTCGATACTTCAGTCACCTAAGGGGAGACTATTTTGAAGGCTGAAACATAAGCTGGAATTTAGAGCTTTCGGTCTGGTTTTGAGGTTTAAAGTTTGAGTATTTGGTAGTGGGTAGGTAGTATTTAAAGTCTAAGATTTAATGAGATCCTGCTAAATGAAATACACATGGTGAGAAGTTGAAGCCTGGGAGGGAGAACGCCAATATGTGGGGTTTTGAGAAGCTAGCGGAGGAGGTGGAGAAGGATCATCTGGCGAAGATAGGCGCACGGACTGGAACCAGGTGGCTGCTGCAGCAGAAGGAATGCTGTTCGTCAGGGGCATTGAGTGTGGCCTAGTGAATTGGACCCAGGTGATGGTGAGGTGCAGCCCTGATGGGGGTGGGCCCAAGAGTTAATGAGAGGGGACACCAAGTGTGTCATTGGGAGAAGTTTATTTTAAAGTGGAACGGAGAAATGGGGTGATAGCCTGAGAGGGTGGTGAGTGAGAACCAGACTTTTGAGACAGGGTTTCATTTCGTAGTCCAGGCTGGCCTTAAGCTTGTCGTGTAGTTGCCCAGGTTAGCTTCACACTCGTGATCCTGCTGACTTAGGCATGTGATGTAGTACCACCATACCCAGCTGAGAAGAAGACTTAACTATTTTTTTTAGAGGTACCGGGATTGAACATTGGTCCCAAGGCCTTCACATTGAGCTACATCCCCAGTTCTTGTTTAGCTTTTAAAATTTTGAGACTGTGTTTTACTAAATTACCCATACTTGACTTGAACTTGCAATTCTCCTGTCTCAGCCTTCGGGAATGCTGGGATTACAGGTGTGCACCACCACATTTGGTCAGAAAGAAGTCTTTCTTTGGTCATTCTTGATGTGTCGTACCATCATCCCCGAGCGCTGGGTAGCTGGCCATGCCCACCATCACCCTGCAAATCACAACTTATGCAAGAGAAAGATTGAACTGAGAGAGTGCTGAGCTACATATCCTTAAACTTTTTTTTTTTTTTTTTTTGATACCTGGGATTGAACTTGGAACCCTGCACTTGCAAGGCAGATGATAGCACCACTGAACTAAATCTCTGGCCCCTTCTTAAACTTTTTTATTCTGTCTTATTTTCTGTACTTCAAGACCTGAAGGTTATATAAACGATTTTAATTTTTTTTATCAGTACTGTATATTTTCTTTTCCTCTTTTTGGCATTACTGGAGGTTGAACCCAGGGCCTTCACACTGATGGCCTCAGCCACTTTTTAATTTTTTATTTGAGACATGGTCTTATTAATATACCCAGGCTAGTGTTTAACTTGGAAATCTTCCTGCCTCAGCCTGTCAGTGTTGAGATTACAAGTCTGTGCCTACAAGTTTTTTTTTTGGTAAGATGTAATACAGTAAATTATATTTGTATTCTTATTTATAAACCTTTTTCTCATTTTATTTGATACGGTTGTAATTTTTTTGTCTTATTTTGCATTTGTTTAGCGGTGAAGACAAGCAAATCTACATTGGGCCAAACAGATTTTCCAGGTAAGCAAAAAATCTTGTTTATAAATGTTTAGCATTTAACAGCACTCATGCTTTATACATTACTTAGTTTTTGCCGCCTGATATTTCACTGCGTATGCCTTTAATGGTTTTGATCTTTTTATGTGATATGATACAGCTCATAGCCGGAAGCCAGCACCTTCAAATGAACCTGAGTATCTATGCAAATGGATGGGACTTCCCTATTCAGAGTGCAGCTGGGAAGATGAAGCTCTGATCGGAAAAAAATTCCACAACTGTATTGACAGCTTCCATAGTCGAAACAACTCAAAAACTATACCGACAAGAGAATGCAAGGTATAGTGCTTGGGGGCTCTTGGTTTTTTTTAAGGAGAGGATTAGTCACATGGATATTGAGAGGAGAAAATTTTTTTTTTTGGTTTTATGAGACAGGGTCTCACTATGTAGTTGAGACTGACTTGGAACTCACTATGTTTGAGACCCAGGCTGGTCTCAAACTCACAGAGATCCTCCTACCTAAGCCTCCCGAGTGCTTGAGATTACAGGCATGTACCACCACGCCAGGCTGAGAGGAGAAAATTTACAAGAGTTAAGTGATGATTTATATCTTGAAGTGAAAGATTTAAATGTGACCTTAAAAGTGAGCAGAAGGATGAGTTGCAAGATGGCTGACTTAGTTACTTTTGTCATTGCTGAGCCAAACTAATCTGACACCCAAAGTTAAAGGAGGAAAGATTTATTTGGCTCAATTAGAAGAGGTTTCAGTCCATAGTCGGCTGGCAGGTGGCATGGCAGAGGGGCATTATGAGAATCGGTTCATGGCACCCAGAGGAAGTAAGCAACAAGCAACGACACTAGCCCTCTTTCTTTTCCTTGTGTTGTATCCAGCCTGCCGGTAAGCACTCACACTAGTGGTTGAGCACCCCTAATCCTACCCAAGACAATATGAAACCAATCACTGTACTGATTTAGTAAGGACACACCTTTAATCCCAGCATCACACTCTAAGTCAGCCATTTCTGAAAAGGCCCATCTATGACAACAGGAGGTTTTGTGGGGTGGGACACATCTAGACACAAGCCATAACAATGACTCTGCTGGCTTCTTTAATTTTGTAATTCACAGAATTAGGTGTATTAGGGTAATATTTAAAGATTAAGTACTTTAGATGAGGGGACAGGAAAGATGTCTGAATTGTAAGGTAGAAGCTAAATATATTGTTTTTGTTTGCTAAGTTGGTTGTTTAGGTGAAATTTATTCCTTTGGAAAGGGGTGGCAGGGGTCCTCGGATCTATAAATGTATTTGTGAGACATGCACTCTGTTTCTGAGAAGTTGACGTTCACATTAACAGTGCTGAACTTGTGTTTGAAAACCAGTGTGCCTGCTTGCAAGTCAAGTGAGTTTGATAGCTAGTCGGTGGCCAGAGAAGTACTAAGGTGTGGAAGTCAGTGGGCTCTATGCCATTGGAGGGGTTTCAGGAGAGAATTTTCATGTTGGAACTGGCCTGTGAAGAATGGACTGGTGCCTGATGGAAAGATAATATGGGGTCTGTGGGACTACTCTCCCATGAAAGGTTCCAAGAGAACATGTTTGTAGTGCAACGGTACTAAGAGGAAAACTTCCATAGTGTAGACCTCAGGCTTGAAGAGGGAGGTGATACTGGTCAGTATATTTAGGTGAAAGTGTCTGTACCTTGACCACCTTGAAGGAAGAGCATTTTGATTTTGTTCTGTGCGTACTGGTACCCATTGCACGGAGCAGCGGGGTGAAAACAGTATTTTATTTAGAAAACTTCATCTAATGGCTGTGTGTAGGAGACTCTGGAGCCTGAAGTTCCATCCATCCAGTCACATGTCATTGAAGCTCATGAGTGAAGAATTATTGTAGGGGTAAGGGAAGCACTGGTGGCGTGGTTGGGAGAACCACTTAGAAGCAGGTTTGGCAGGAGTGGATGGAAGGGTGGTTTTTAGGGGTGTGAGTGAGAAGTCAGCTTCTGTTCACTGCTGGTTCTCTTATGTAGGAACCTGAAACCCTCTGTGACCTTATCAGTTAGTGTTAGGGTCACATTTCTTGGGACAGGCTCCTTAGAGTATTCCTCTTCAGAGAAATGTTCCTTGAAAAAAAGACTAGTGTGGCCAGATAACTTTGTGATGGATTATTCCTGAATAAATTTCTCTTGTACATTCACATTATAGGCCCACATGGTTAAATTTTGAAAAGTCAAAATTAAAGAAATTTATATAAATTTTGATCCATTGTCTGTTTTGGCCACTAAATCCCCGTTATGCACACAGTGAGACTTAACTTTAGTGCTATTCTTCAAACCTTGGCAATGATGAAAACAGCAACTTTTCTTTCAGAAAACCAAATTCAGATAATTGGTGGCCTTAAGATAGGGGACTTCCTCTGAGAATTTTTTGTTTTTTTTGGTACCAGGGATTGAACTAGGGTCCTTGCACTTGCACGACAGGTGGCAGAACCACTGAGCTAAATTCCCAGCCCAGAATTTATAAATCCTTTTGTAATTATAGGATCCTGGGCTTATCTGTTTAGCTGCATTTAAGAAATGACAGACTTTCCAAGAGATAGTTGGGTCTTTTTTTGAGACTTGTAGTCTGAAGCTGGCTTTGGACTTGCTGTTTAGCCCAGGCTGTCCTTGAACTTACAGTCATCCTGCTTCAGCCTCCCGAGTTCTGTGATTCCAGGTGTATGCTGCCCTGCCCTGCCTGTTGTGTACTTTTTGGAATAGGACAGCTTAAAGATAACTGCTGCTGTTCAGTAGGGGTGACACAAAAATCAATGGCTCTTTAATGTTGCTCACAGACTTACTTCAGGAAGGGACCATTGTAACTGAAACATTTTATTTCAGTGTGGACTCCAGGACTAGAGTACCAGAAAATGGGGAGCGGAGCGGGATGGTGATTGATCTGCACAGTTTGTTTTTTTTGCTTTGGTGTAGAGTATGTAAATTGTGGAAGGATTTTAATTTAGGAGCAGAGAGAACATTTTCTCATACTGTGGCTTTGTTAATTTTTGCCTTTCAGGCCCTGAAGCAGAGACCACGATTTGTAGCCTTAAAGAAACAGCCAGCATATTTAGGAGGAGAAAATCTGGAGCTCCGAGATTATCAGCTAGAAGGTCTCAACTGGCTTGCTCATTCCTGGTGCAAGTAGGTCAAAATGTCTGACATTTTCTTTACAGTTTTTGGCTTTTGTGTGGTTAGCTTAATTACAAAGTGCTGGGGACCCATCTAGGCCTTGGGAGTTTAACAGCAAACAGATGCACTCACTGTATGTATATTGCAAAGAAAATTGGTTGCATTTGAGATTTATAGACATCTGTATCCTCATTCTCCCTTCAGCTACTTCGTTCCTTTCTGTATTTTTTCCTCTAAACCTAGTTATTCTGTGGGAAACAATATGGTTTTCAATTTTTTAAAAAATTTCTTCCTGAGGAATTAAATGTCTTGTTTTTGTAGTCCATTAAGTTGCCTTTAACCTGTATTTTACTGTTAGTCCTCTCTGGTCCCTTGGTTAAATATATCTTACATATGTGCACACCACTGACACTCCACTTACTGACTCTCAGTGGCCCTATTTTGAAGAAACTTTTAAACATGGTTGCACAGATCCATCCCCAACTTCTTGCCAGGTTTGGCTTTTTATTTTCCAAGCATATTTTGCTATGTTTGATGATTTTCTTCAGTTTTTTTCTTAACATTTGTATATTTTTTTTCTATTAATAGCCTCTTGAGATATTGCCCATTTTTTCAGAGCAGTGTTTCTGAATCTGTGGTCAAAGGAACACCTGCTTTTGAATCTTCCAAGGTGCTTGTTAAAAATATAGAATCCTGTGTTCTCTCTGAGATACTCTAATTCCAGAGTTCTCAGCAGAGGTACTAGAAATCATGTGCAGCCTGTGTCTGATGTACCCTGGTGTATTTAGTACAAGCTCTGTGTGCCTGCAGCATGTAGGTCTAGGGACAGTGCAGGTGGCAAGGAAGGACTGGTGACATGCAGAATGGGTGGGTGATTTGAACAATGACAGTGACTGGCAGGCCGCAGGAGTCGGCAGCAGTGGTGATAGCCGGTCTGCTCATGTTTTCTGTATTGATGGGGTCTGAGGTTGCTCACGGGTACACAATTGTAATGGTACACAATTGTAATGAAACTTGCCTTCTCTGTTAGAGGTGACAACCTGGGGAGAAAATAGAATTCAGAGCCTTAAGTGCTGAATGCAGAACATAGTCTGATCAGACTCTTTCAATAATCTGAATCTTGATACTTACAGATCTCTTGTTATTCTATTATACACACCCTCTAGTTTCTTCCTTGTTCAGGAGGCTTAAATAAGTTCAGATAAGGAAAATATATTTGAGACTCACATTAATGCTTTCTGTGCTGTCGTTACAGTCTATGTACATACTAGTTTTTGATGAGCTAATGATTGTTTTGTTTTGACTTTTTCTACAGAAGTAACAGTGTAATCCTTGCTGATGAAATGGGCCTAGGAAAGACCATCCAGACCATATCATTCCTCTCCTACCTGTTCCACCAACACCAGCTGTATGGACCCTTTCTTATAGTCGTCCCTTTATCCACCCTCACCTCATGGCAGAGGGAGTTTGAAATCTGGGCACCAGAGATAAACGTAGTGGTTTACATAGGTGACCTGATGAGCAGAAATACGGTGTGTAAACAAAAAGAGTTGGGGTAGAATCTATGTTATAAATGTTTCGGAAATTGATCTAAAGTCTTTGGTAGAATTATTAGTAAAGTCTTAATAAATTTATTCTGACATTCTGTGTCTCAAAGATTAGTAGTTTTGTTTGTAATAAAAATGCATGTCAGCTATTCTTTCAAAATATGATTACTATTTAAAGAAAAGGAGTAGCAGGAGATGAATGGGAATCTTGCTTAGTTGGGTTGTGGTACTGTTTTTTCCTCGCCCTTTTTGTGCTCCTAAGACCACTTTGTATAAAGATTATAAAATGTAATTAATACCTTGTGGAAAGTTAATATTATTGCTATTTGAACAGAGAGAGATTAATGAAAATAATTGAGTTGTTAGAGTTTGTTTCCTAGTCTCTGAAAGCAATTAAGTAGCTTAGCTTACAATTAGGAAATAAAAGCAAAGGAAAATAATACATTTCAAGGCTGTAGAAATGAGAATTATTTGACCTTTACTAAACATTAGTGGTCATAAATTTAGTATATTGTAGTATAAATTTATCTTTTTGTTTGGCAGATCTTTTCTTGAGTAATGACTAAGTGTCTACAATATGCCAAGCCATTTGTTGGGTGCTTTTATGTATGCTCCTTTGTGACCTTCACAAAGTTGATGGTAGTCTTGTTTTGTTTGTGAGACTAGGGATTGAGTCCAGGGCCTTGCACAATCTAGGCATGTCTTTTGCTGCTGAGCTGCATTTCCAGTCTTTTAAAGTTGATTTTAATCTTTCCAAACCAGGGATAGCTAGGATATGGCTGACCTCAAGTTGGAGAACATAGGTATATGTCGTCTTTCACCAGTGTATGTGAATGTTTTTCTGGGATATGGCTTTATAGCAAGACCAAGCCATCAGAAATCCTCAGACATTTTAGATATGTGCTGTAATAATATATTTTTATGCTTTCAAATTTGTTTTTATTAAAAATTAAAATCAATTCAGTTGCGAGTGTGGTGGCATGTGCTTATAATTACAATGTCAGCGCTTGGGAGGCCGAGGCAGCAGGATCACCTCACATTTGAGTCCATGTTGCACTGCACAGTGAGTTTAAGGTCAACCTGGATTGCAAAGTAAGACTCTCTCAACAACAACAAAAATCTTAGAAGCCCTGGCCCATTTTGTTACTGTAATCATGACTTTGTAGGAATAGTACTAGTTAGCTTTGTTAATTCATGTATTAATCATTAAAAGAAAGAGTTAAAAAAGCCTTAGGGCTGGGGATTTAGCTCAGTGGTGCCACTGCCTTGCCTCACAAGTTCAAGGTCCTGAGTTCTATTCCTGGTACCAAAAGAAAAAGAAAGCCTGTAATCCCAGCACTTAGGAAGCTCAAGGCAGGAAGATTGAGAGTTCAAGGCTGGCTTAAGCTGTGTAGCGAGACCTTGCGGGGGGAGAGATACAGAGGCGGAGTCAGAATTGTTGAGTCAGTGGCATTTGTAGTCCCCAACACTCTTTCTTTGGTTTTATTGGGTTGTTAACTGCAGGCCCTCATTGTCTTGATCTCTGATTTACACCCTGAAAAACTGCAAAACTTGGTCATTAACTATTTTGCTTCCTGAGTTTCTGGTTATACTTGGATGTGTTAGTTTTTGTATTCTTTTACAGTGACATTTTGAATTACACTTTAGCCTATAAGTCTTTTTTTCCTTTTTCTTGGTCAGCACATCTCTCTGTTCTGTGATTAATGAAATTTCTGACCCAGCTTGAGGTTAGAACTTGTTTTTCTCCCTTAGGAAAATGTTAGGGATTTGGGAAATCCTTTTTAATTCAAGTCACCTGGGATTAGTTGCTTGATAAATGCACTTTCCTTGTCAAATGTGTTTTGGGGTCAGTTTATTTGTATTTTGAAAGTAAAGTATTTACTGTTTTTTGAGTCATATTTTAGTTCTTCCTACATGCTTTGGCTACTTAAGCCATTTCAGAATGTGTGAGCTGTTCATTCAGCTCTAATCAGACTTATTTTTTGTTTGGCATGATTCTGTTGCATCTCTCACAAGACTTCTGTGATACTAGAAGATAGAGGTAGGAATTGTATCTTAATTACATTTTCTCTTACAGATACGAGAATATGAGTGGATTCATTCCCAAACTAAAAGGCTGAAGTTCAATGCACTTATAACCACATATGAGATTCTTTTAAAAGACAAGGTGTGTAATTTGTTTATTACACTTGATCTTAACCAAAAAGCAGAGAAACGATGTAATTCGTTACAGTGACTTGTTCAAGCAGTAAGGGTTGTGCCTTCCACTGGCTGTTATTTTTCTTTCCTTGTTTAAAAAGAGCACACGAACAAACAGATCTGTAAAACCTTGCAACTAAAAAGCAGCTTAGGTTGCCTTGTCCAGTTGAATCTTGGGAAAGGGTGTAAGGTACCAGGCAAGTGACCACCCGAGATGGTGGTCCCTGGAATTGGCTGGTACGCCCTCTGGTGTGTTTGCCGCTACATCGTCGTGAAGCCTTTCTCTACACCAGTTGACGTGCATGGTCTCTGAAAAACTCAGCTCTTTAAGTACACCCCTTCTACAGTTACTGAGAAATATATCTGGTGATAATAAGTGCAAACAAGTTTAATTTGGTGGCTCTTGGTATTTCCTTGCTTCAGGGTATAGACAAGAAAAGAAAATGAAAGGCAATGTCTTGTTTTTTGTTCAGCTTTTCAGTGTTTGTGTTCTTTTTTGGGGTATGCAGTATGCAGTAATAGCTGGTATGAGACCTGCTCTTTTGAGTAGGTACCAATCTGGCAACTACTGGAATAAACAGAAGAGACCTAATGTACATATATTAAGTCAGTAAAGAATAAATGTCTCTTTATACCTCTGTGATGGTATTTGTGCAAAGTTAATTAACTCTTGAAAGCGCTTTGGGTTACTTCTGACCTGGTGGCTCGTTCTGTTTTGTTTTCACTTTAGACTGTGCTGGGCAGTATTAACTGGGCCTTTCTGGGAGTGGATGAAGCCCATCGGTTGAAGAATGATGACTCTTTATTGTATAAAACTCTGATTGATTTCAAGTCCAACCATAGGCTCCTGATTACGGGCACCCCTCTTCAGAATTCCCTCAAGGAGCTCTGGTCCTTGCTGCACTTTATTATGCCGGAGAAGTAAGCTCCTTCCTGTGTATTTCAAAAGATGCTAGAATGTCTGAAATGCCAGTGACTTTTTTAAACATTCTTAATAGACCTCACAGAAAATAGATGGACTGGTTTGGGAAAAGAAAACATTAGACTGAGGAAGGATAAAGTCATTCATAGTAAGTTATAACGGACACAGAAATGCGCCTATTGAGGAGGAAAGCATATTATCTGTCAAAAGTTTGAATTATTTAAGACATCTGGGGGGTCCGGGGGTTTGGCTCAGAGTTTCTGCCATGTGCCTTGTAAGCACAAGGGCCCAAGTTTGATCCCCAGTACCAAAACAAAACAAAACAATAACAACAACAAAAAAGACATTTGGGACATAATTAGATTGGAGGTATCATTCTTACTCTTGTTATAGCGTAGTCAGTATAATTGAGATGCAGCGAGTTATGCAGATATCCATTTATACATACTTTAAATCTACATCTTTGAATAAAGAAACATCAGTTTCTTAGGTCTTATTCAAGTCATTATTAAACTGTGGGAAATTCTTCTGGAAATATTTTTATAGAAGAAATAATATGCCCATTTCTTAAAACTTGGAAGTATCCAGTAGGGTCCAGTGATACTTGGAATGAAATCTAAATTTACCAGTTGGGCTGAGCCCGCTCAGTCTGACAGAGCTTGACAAGATTTTGACTTGTTCATCACTCATTATGTGTCAGTCATTCCACTGTCTTTCTGTCTCTCAAATATGCCAAGTGTCTGTTTTGACTTGAATTTCCATAACTGCTAATGAAACTGAACAAATTTTCATTTCACTAGTTATTAGTGTTATTTTCAGTGAAGAAAGTGTCTTTGCTGTTTGAAAAATTGGATTTTTTATTATGAATTGAAGAGTATTACTTTCTTTCAATAAAGTTTTCTAGATACAAGTGTTCCTTCAGTATATGATTAGCAATTTGTCCTGGTCTTTGTATTTTTTTTTTTTTCATTTTTTTAATCTTATCTTTTGAAGACCAGGTTTTTAACTTTGATAAAATGTAATTTATTAATTTATTTTTATTGTGATTTGGACAATATTGAAGACAGTTTTGTCTAACCATAGGTTATTATAAAGACATTTTTTAAAAAAATTTTATGTTTTGGCTTTTCTGAGACTGGGTATTGCTATATATATAGTTTAGGCTGGCCTTGAACTCACTCTGTAGCCCAGGCTGGCCTCAAGCTCATGGTGATCCTCCTGCCTCAGCCTCCCTAGTGCTGGGATTACAGATATGTCCCACCATTTTTAAAAATGCACAGCCATTTTTATTTTATTTATTTATAAAATATTTTTATTTTTAACAGAGACATTTTTATTTGTAGAAGTTGTAGCTTTTACATTAGGTCTGTGTTCCATTTTTGTTGCATGGGAATTTTGGGAAATTGCTCTCCCCTCAGGTGCTGATTATATTTTGTTGGTTGAATTGCCTTGGTATTTTGTTGATGATCAAGTGAAGCCCTAAGTGTCATGATCTGTTTCTGGACTGTTGCATTTGTTTCATTAATTCATGTTTCTGTCTTTGTGTCCTTACCATACTATTGTGATTAGTTTTATTCTAGTTTTTAAAATGGAAAAGCATAGTTTTAGTTTCACTCATTTTCAAAAGGCTTTACATTTCTACACATTTTTTAGGGTTACTTTTTAGACTTCTGCATAGTTTTTGGGTAAGAAAAACTTGCAGTTTTGATAGACATTGCTTTGAATTCTGTATCAAAGAAGGGAGGAATAGTAATATGTTGAGTCTTCTAATCTGTGATCATGGAAAATTTTCTCCATGTATTTAGGTTTTCTGTAATATTTTGAAATAGTATTTAGTAAGTTTTTAGTGCATAAGTCTTGAATTTCTTTTAAATTTATTTCTACTTACTTTAATTATGATTATATTTCAGGTGAAATTGTTTTCTTAATCTACTTTTGTATTGTACTACAGTATAGAACAGTGATGGTGAAGCTTCAGAGCTTTTAATGATAAGTAACTGGCTTCGGCATGTGTGCCACTGGGATAGAACTACAATTCAGTTTTATATATCAATCTTATGTTCTGCAGACCTCATAAACCTTTTATTTTCCCTTTTTTTGTGTTGTAATATTTTCTACATATGAGCCTGTCTTCTGCACATACATTATGGGCTGCTATTGCTTGTCCACTCTTTTTTATATCTTCTTGGGTAATTGCATTGGCTAAACCTTCATGTTGAATCAGTGGGAGCAGGATGTTAAGTATAGATTTGTTTTGGCTTTTGTTTTGAGACAGTGTCTTGCTTTGTAGTTCAGTCTGACCCTGTACGCACTGTGTAGCCAAGCTCGCCTGGGACTTGTGATCCTCCCGCACCTGCCTCCCAGTTGCTAAGCTTAGAGGAATGTAACATCATGCCCTCCTAGCTATATTTTGTAGATACCGTTTCATATGTTTTCTCCTACTCTGTTTTTTGAGAACTTTTATAATGAGTTGGGTGTTGGTTTTTGTCAGTGCTCTTTATGAGACTGTCGTGATGACAAATGTCCTTTATTCTACCTGTATGCCAGAGACTATATTAGTTGTTGTTCAGGTGTTCCACTCATTTCTAGCTTAAATCTAATTTGTTCATGATGTTCAGTCCATTTATGTGTTGCAGGATTGGGCTAGAGTGTTGTAAAGTATTTTTACAGCTGTGTTTTTGCTACCTTTTAAGTGTGAGAGTGGGTGCAATTATGAATATGAATATGAATAGATAGAAAAAGAGATGCCTGTGTGGCTTTATCAGGATCACAGGATGGATTGGGAAATGTTCTCTGTTTTCTGAAAGAGTTTTAAATTTGGTGTTGTGTTTTCTTTAAATATTTTATTAAATTTATAAGTGTAGCCATTTGAGCCTTCAATTTTCTTTGTGGGAAAATTTTTTAATGTCTTATTTCAAGTTATAGGATATTCAGATTTTCTACTCACTCTCGTTAATTGTATCTTGGGTGGAGTTTGCCCATTTCATCTACGTTTGTGATTTGTATAAAGTTACAGTATTCCACTGTAATCTTTTCTCCCCCCTTGTAATCTTTTTAAGTTTTAAAGGATCATTAGTGACCAAAAATTCTTTCAGTTTTGGTATTTTCTTTTTTGATACTGAGTATCGAACTCGGCGCTTGCGAGGCAGGCAGCAGAACTAGTGAGCTAAATCCTCATCCCTAGTTTTGGTATTTTCTGTAATTTCTTTTTCTTGGTAAGTTCTAGCTGAAGGTTTAAACATTTTATTGATATTTTCAAAGAACCAATCTTTGGCTTAGCTTTTTTGTAAAAATCTGTTTCTTTTCTTCTTTTGTTTCTATTCTCATCTATTTCCTTCTTTTGATGGTTTTCATTTTGTTTTTTCCTTAAGATGCAGCTTGATTATTGATTTAAGACTTTTTCCCTAAACTAGGTCTTTAAAGGTGTAAGTATACATTTATGCAGTGCTGTATCTGCATCTCATACATGTTGATAGCCTGTTTTCGTTTTCATTCAGTTTTATCTGTTTTGTGATTTCTCTTGTGTGTTTTTTCTTAGTGCACGGATGTTTTAGATGTGTGCTGTTTAATTGCCAGGTATTGTAATGAAATGTTTTGTAATTTGGTTTTGTCAGAGAATGTACTTGTAAATGAGTTTATTATGACTTACTACGGATCCTGCTGTATTTGCTATCCTGGAGAATGTTCCATGTACATTTGAAAGGAATAAAGTGTATTTTGTTGTGTACAGTGTTTTGTAAATGTCATTAACTGTACTTTGGTTTCATTGAGGTCCTTGTTTTTGCTGACTTCTTGGCTAGTTGTACCAAGTATTAAGAGTGAAATACTTTAATTTTTAAATATAATTTTTGAATGCTTCAGTTTTCAGTTTTTTCTTTGTGTAGTTTGGGTTCTGTTGTTAGGTGCATATATATTTAGAATTGTCATATGCTTATGGTGTATGGACCTTTTTTATCATTAGGAAATAACCCACCTTAGTACTAGTAATAGTTTATATTCTTTTATTTTTGTGTGATTTTTTATAGTTTTTTGCCTTTCGTGGTTATTACTGGTTATTGTTTGCTTGGTACATTGTTTTCATCATTTTACTTTCAATCTCTTTCTTTGAGTTTAAAATGTAGTTGGATAGCCAGGCATGGTGGCACACGCCTGTAATCCCAGCACTTGGGAGGCTGAGGCAGGAGGATCGCTGTGAGTTCGAGACCAGCCTGGGCTACATAGTGAGTTCCAGGTCAGTCTCAACTACATAGTGAGACCCTGTCTCAGAAAACAAACAAACAAAATGTAGTTGGATATACCTACTTTTACACAAACTGTCAATTTCTGCCTTTTGATTGAAGTATTTATGTTTATATGTAATATATAATGATATGGTTTGATTAGTTTCTGCCATGTTGCTCTTTGTTTTCCATATGTCTTATGTATTTTTTGTTCCTACTGCTAGATTTTTGTTTTTTTTTCCCTTCTGACACAGACTCTAGTCCAGGCTGGCCTTGAACTCCTGTTCATTCTTCCTCAGCCTCTGGAGTGCCAGGATTATAGGCATGTGCAGCCCCCAGCATATTTTTCCTTTATTGCCTTCTTTTGTTTGAACAAATATTTTTTAGTGTGCCATTTAATTCTTTCCATTAATATTTTTGTTATTTTACAATTATTTTCTTACTGTTTTCTCTAGAGATTCTTCCTCTGAACCTACCATAGTCCTTTTCATGTTAATAATGGCTCAATTCAGGCAAAATTCAATAACTTTGTTCTACCATAATTCCATTTTCACCTTTCTTCTTGTGTTACAAAGAATACATTGACTTAATTGAACAATAAATTTGTGCTGTCTTCTATTATTTCCAGTGATTTTCACTTCTTCAATTGTGGATTCAGGATGCCGTTGAGTGTCACTTTCATGTAGCCCAAAGTGCTTCCTTTTTAGTATTTCTTGTAGGACACTAGCAGATTGATTTCTTTGTCATGGCTGTTTTGTTTTTACCTTTGTTTGTGAAGAATAGTTTAAGACTTCAGAAGATGGGTAGAGAAACTTTTCCACTATGGGTATGCTGCCTGCCCTCCTTCTAACCTGTTACTAGAACTGGCTTAAACTCCTGCCCACCTTCCTGCCCCCTCTCTCTTCCTCCCTCTCCTCAGTACTGTATGTTTCTGGGAGAGGAACCCCTTCTGTATCCCTTTTTGTACCACCTTTTAGAGCAAGGTTTCTCACCCTTGGCACACAGTTGACATTTTGGGCTGGATATGTATTTTTTGTGGGACTTTATTCCTCGTGTTATTTTCCCCCCCATAGGTAAGAAAATTTTCATGTACGTTACTCATAGCTCACATATTATTTTCCCATACTTGATCTTTTTGTTACATAGGAGGTATGTAGTTGCTGTATTATCCTGGCTTAGAGGAAAAAGAAAAGTGTCCTCTATTACCTGTCTAATAAGTGATGGAGCAAGTTCAGTGTTCTTTGACCTTCAAATTCTAAGAGAGAAAGTACATTTTTCATATCATACAGGCTAAGCACAATGCTTCCTGGGTATTAGGAATCACAAGGTGTACTGGGAACACGCATGCTTGTTTGTGTAGAAATACAATGAAGTGTTGTATACCAGCTGCAAAAGTGAAAGGTAAACTTTTTGACTCCTCTGTGGTTAGTTGTTTTCTGTTGAGTAAGTGTCTCATTCTACCCATATTTTAGAAGAAAGTTGCATATTCTGCTTTTAAAATTGTAGAGGGATTATGAATTACTTTTTCTGTTAGACATGATTATTCAAGTACTGTTTTCCAAAGTTTTTTTTTATGGTCACTTACTGTATCATAGATTAGTGTTAGACATGCGGAGTTTGTTTTATTTTCTTGCTGAGAGGAGATCTTTTTTTTTTTTTTTTTTTCTGAAAATTGTGTTTTTGAAATACTGAGGTAACGTCAGTGTTTCTAAATTCTCAAATTCTGAAAAATTTAAAAGTTAGAACCATTTCTGCTTTTGTGAGATAAATGTTAAGTATAGAAGTTGATAATGGATATATCTAAAATAATGCATCTCTTCATATATTGTAGTAGTTATTGCACATTTATCTCTACTACCTTGTGCCTTTTATACGTGTAATTTTATAAATATCTCTTGAAGTGGACAGCACTTTTTTTTTTTAAAGATTGTGTGATAGTAAATATTTTTGGCTTGGTAGGCCATAGTCTATCACAACTACTTATCTGTGTTGTTATACAGCAGCCACAGACATTTCATAACACACGGCTCAGTGTGTGTATCTGAAGAACCCTTTTCTCATATTAGCTCCTTTAATACAGTAAGACAGTAGGCAGTGCACGTATTTGTTGTTTAAAACAGAAGGAGCTAAATCTTGTAAATAAAGTTTACATTTAAGTTTTTAAATGAGCATGGTTGTAATTATGTTAAGTAACCTAATTGGCCTCGAGTCTTCTAAGTATTCAGAGAATAGCTGGATACAGTGGTAGTTCTGCTGAATTTCAGTCACCTCAAACATTTTGTATGTGAGGTGTTATTCCCAGGATTGATACAATTCATTTCACATTTTTCCTTTTTCTTAGAGTATTTACCTTAGGTGTATCAGGCTGTAATCCCTGATGAGGGTTTTGGATCTGTACCATTTTATTTACTTCCCTGAAGACGATTATTTCTGGCTTTACCAGGGATCCCTAAGGCTGATGCTGACCCACCTTGCCATACCTGATGAAGTGCTTGGTCCTTTATGGGTTCAGAAACGGCGAACTGTTGAGGCCTTGTATCCCCTGGCAAGATTGGCATGTGTGGTTGCTGGCTTTTCATTTTCCAGAACATATGCTTTGAGTCTTGTGTAGTTCTAGGCATTGGTGGTTGTTTGAGGATTTCAGTCTCACACTTGACAGAGCTCAGCAGAGCTGTCACTGCAGCCGTAGTGCAGTTAAAGCTTCCTGGTCTTGCCTCAGTTGGTTAACACTGTGTGCTTCCTGCAGAACTTCCATCTATGCAGAACTCAGCTAGTTTTGTCAGGCGCTTCACTGCGTTCATAGCAGCAAAGACATAGCCATATTTCTTAATCTTCATGCACTAAAATTTCTCTCATTTTAAAATTTTGAATGTAATCTTATAATGTCCCATTCTGGATTTCTGCCATAGATCTGGTAGTGAATGGAATGTGGTTGCATTAAGATGTATATATGAGAAAGTTTTATCTGTAGAGTTGAGATAGAATTATTATGAGTATCATGTTTATAAGTCCATTAATTAATTTCCTACTCCCAAGTTCTATAAAAGTTGGACTACTTAACAGTTTTCTTCTCTGGGTTATAGTCTTACTGTCATTATAATCCATTAACCTTTTTTTTTGGCCATCCTTTTTGTGTGATTTTTTTTTAATCCATTAACAAAATTTTAATGTATAAAGTGAAGATTATTGATGGACATCATCTGTATAACTTTTACCCTAGAGCAGTGATAGTGGAATAAAGCGGGCACTAATTATCCTTTCACTTCTGAATTTTATTTGCCCAAGAAATTAGAGCTTGTTAAGAGATAGTTTATGGAGCTGGGTGTGGTGGCTTGTGTCTGTAGTCCCAGCACTATGGAGGCTGAGTTAGAAGTCCTGGAGGCCACCTCAGGCTACATAGTGAATTCAAGGCCAGCCTGAAACATGTAGTGAGACCTATCTCAAGAAGTCCAAAAAACGGAGTGGTAATTTATGATTAATTTTTTTGTGTAACATTTCATAAGAGTAACTTTCCTTACACTGATTGCATGATATACTGAAATATTTTATAAGTAGATTCAGTCTTGAGACTTGGAAACCTGTTATCCAGTGTAGACTGATGGGATGATTCAGTTAGTTGTCCTTTTCCTTTTGTTTTTCTTTCTCCTTTATTGAAGAGCCTAGTGATGGATAAATTTGTCTTTCTTTGTGGGAAAAAGGTCATTTTCCCCCCATTTAATTCTCTGTAAAAGAATTTAGTTGTAAAAATGCTTTTTTCTTTCTGTGAGCTAAGCAGGACTATGACTTGTTTCATTCCTAGGTTTGAGTTCTGGGAAGACTTTGAAGAAGACCATGGAAAAGGGAGAGAGAATGGCTACCAGAGTCTCCATAAGGTACTAGAGCCGTTCCTTCTCCGGAGAGTCAAAAAAGATGTTGAGAAGTCCCTTCCAGCCAAAGTGGAGCAGATTCTCAGGGTAGAGATGTCGGCCCTCCAGAAGCAGTATTACAAGTGAGTTTGTTGTTGGATTAAAGCCAAAGGGAATTGAGGTCACTGCTATAGAGCCATTAGATAATTCATAAACAACCTGGTTTTTTTCCTTTGGGCACAAGGGATTGAACTCAGGACCTTACACTTGCAAGGCAGGCCTGGTGTCACTGAAATAAATCCCTGGCCCTGTTTTTATTTTTTTAAGTGAAGCCACAACACAGATTTAAATAGAAGTTTGTAATTGGTCAGAAAAAATGAGTTTTATTGTTCTTAATTTTTTTTATTGTGTGAAAAATGTCTCAAGCTTAAACTTTATGGCAGGGTAGTACTCCGTTGTTTTAAAAAACAACATATTCTTTATCATTCATCAGTTGATAGGCAGTTGATACCAAGAAGGAATACCTGGGTCAAATGGAACCTCTAGTTTTATTTTATTTTTTTGAGATAGATAGATATATTTATTTCATATATTTGCCATTCTCCTTCATCTGAGAAGTGTCTATTTCAGCTGCCCATTTTTTGATTGGGTCTTTAAATTTGGGGTGTATCTGATTTTTTTGTTTGTTTGTTTGATTTTAGTCCTTTTTATATTGGTCCTTTTAGGAACACCTGGCAAAAAGTTTTTCCCACCCTGGGTTGTTTCTTCATTCTGTTGGTGTTTTTTTTTCTGCTGTGCAAAAGCTTTTTAATACGATGCAATCCAGGTTGTTGATCTGTTGTGATATTTCCTCTGTGTTTGGAGTTTTGTTCATACAGCCTTTGCCTACAACAATGTCTTCAAGAGTTCTTCCTATTCTGCATTTTTATTGACTCCAGTCAATCTTATGTTATTCTTCTTTGCATCATCTAGCAGTTATTGGAATGAAGTTTTGTAGTCCCTTGCTATTTTTAAGATACTTTCTTTTCATGATCATTAACTGCAATCTTTTTTTTTTCTTTTTAATCCGACATTCTGTCCTCATATTGGCTCATTCTGCTATATATACTTTCAGTAGAATTTTTCATCTTCTGGCTGTGTTTGTGTTTCATGGATTCCATTTATTTCCTATATGGGGTGTTCATGGTTGCCTTCATTTCCCTAAGCTCTATTTTCTTTTTTTAATCTGTATCTGCTCTAGAGTGACTGCCCAAGTCTTTCATTATGATTACCATTCCTGTAGTTATCTGAGAAATTATTTCTGATTTGATTTTTCTAGAGCCTCATTCATCTGCTTTGTTAGTTCCCTGGTAACCATTTCAGATAGTTCTACCTCACTGCCCCTGGGTTTGCTTTTGGTGAGCTGGAAGTCTGGGGTTGCATCTTGCTCAAGTGTCTACTCTTTTTTTTTTTAGTTTAATTTCTGGGTTGATGCTTATAAATTCCTTTGGACAAGTAGCTTTATTGCTAGTATTTAGAACTCTGAGGAAATGACTATTTCTCAGAGATGTCTTCCAGGTGTAGCTGGCTTTTTGGTTTTGAGTGTCTTGCAAGATCCTAACTCCTTTGATTTATTGGGGATGAGAAGTTGCCACTTCTTTGGCCTAGACCATAGTTCCTTGGCACTGGCCTATAGTATTGCTTGTGACCCTTAGGCAATCTCAGTCTTGGCATACCAGGAAGAACAACTGATTAGCACAATTATTTCACCTTGGCTAAAGTAGTACAATCAGCAATATCAATACATCAAGCATGGCCTAGAAAATGACAAACTGTGGAAACTATTGATTTGTTATCTTTAGCTGTAGAAATTATATTTGTGGCTATATAACAAAGTCTAAAACCAGAAAATTGTATGCAGTAAATAAGCCTCAATATGGCGATTTTACCGTTAGTGGAGAAAATTTAAAAGGGGTTGGGGGAAAAAAATAGAAGAAGAGGAAGAAATTAAAAGCAAGGCTTGGGGACACAGGAAGATTACAAGAACTTTGGGAAACTGATAAAGATAGGGAAAGAGACGGAAGAAATAAAAACAGAACAACAACAAAACAACTAGAAACAGTGTTCGCAGTCATGTAACAACAGGAACAATAAATCAAGAAAACAGAAAACAAGACAAAAACAAGAAAACAAACAACCAAAAAGAAAATAAGGAAAAAATAATGCCCTGAACTTCAAGGTGTTCTCTTCTGTCACTGGTAAACAAATTGGGCACACAGAGCCCAGATCCATGTTGATTAACCCCAACAAGCCAGCAGTAGATTTATGGCAGGGTAGTAGATAATCCCAGCAAATCTGTACCTTTAATTCCAATGAAGTTCAGAATGGTTTCTGGCTATTAGGCTGGAGTCTCATTTGTTCAGTCTGCAACGCTGTGTGTTCCTGCTGCTGGCTTGAACTTGGCTCCCTGCCAGTTTGGACTCAGCTCCTTGACCTCTTGCTGATTGGGTCTCAATTCCACCTTACCATGATGCTGGGAACTGCTAGATGGAGTCAACTGTTGCTCTGAGTTCCAAGCTCACCAGCGAATCGCCCTCTTCTGGGTGACATTTGAAGCAATATAGCTCAACGGCCTCTGCAGTCCACTGAGTCTACTGCTTTGTTCCACTGCTGTGCTTATTTGTGGAGGCCTCTGCCTCTGGGCTGCCATTAGTCACCATGCGTCTGCAGGTTTAGGCTGCCCTTCCCATACAGTGAGTCAAGGTACAGGGAAAAAGCGCCGCTTGCCATCTCCTTTGTTGAAGTCTCTCTCTTCAGTTCTTGCTTTACCTCCTTGCTGGTTCCCAGGGACCCACTTCCCTCCTTCTCTTCCTCATGTTGCTGTATTCCAGAGTCTGGACACCAAATTTCAGAGATGCTGTTTCTCTGCTGTTCACCACTCTGCTATCTTCCTGGAAGTCCTCCCAACCAATTTTTAATGTCTAGTGAGTGTTTACATTTTTTTTGTTGTCATATATATATATATACAAAAATGCACATCTACACACATACGCATGAACACTTGTAACAGTGTAGTAATACTCATATTTTATCATTATGTGGAATACTAGCCAGGTGTGGTGGGATGATGCATGCCCATAATATCAGCACTTGGGAGGCCAAGGCAGGAGGATTGCTGTGAGTTCAGGGTTATCCTGTGCTACATAGTGAGTTCAAGGCCTGCCTGTACTACATAGTAAGACCCTGTCTCCAAAAAAAGTGGGATAGTTTTATAAAAGGAAACTTCCCAGGGCTGGGGATTTAACTCAGTGGTTCCATTGCCTGCCTCTCAAGTGCAAGGACCCAAGTTCAATCCCCAGTACCAAAAAAAAAAAAAGAAAAAGAAACTTCCCAATATTAACTGAGGAATAATTCATATAGGAAAGACAGAATAATTGATTTCTCTACTTTCCTTGAAAGATTTTGACCAGGGAGATTTATTTTGGTATCATTATGAACTGATTGATGAATCATATTTGTGTTTGGCTGTGTTCAGTGGTGCACACCTGTAATCCTAGCTACTTGGGAGGCAAAGATGGGTGATTACCAGTTCAAAGCCAGCCTGGCAGCTTAGTAAGAAGACTCTTGTCTCAAAATAAAAATGGCTGGGGAAATAGCTCAGCAAGCACTCTGTGGGCTCATTCCCCAGCACTGCCAAACAAAAGAGAACAAAACAGCTTTTATATTTCATTGGCAGACCAATTTTAGCCAGTGGGAGCTCATTTGGGCTTACTGTCCGAGAGCTTGGGACTCAAAGTATTTCAGATTTTGGACTTTGCTAGATTTTGGAGAGTGTGTGTATGTGTGTGTGTGTGTGTGTGTGTGTGTGTGTGTGTGTGTGTATAAAGAGGTACCTTGGTGATGCTTATAGTAGTTTGTAGCTTGTTCACTATTGAGATTGGTAGTATTCCACATTTATCTTATACATTTCATGCCCTGGAAGTACTCTGCCATCCGTCAAAGAAGTTCTGCATACTGATTTACTGGGAAGTGATATTTGGAGAGCGTAAACTGGGTCCTAGAGGAAGAGACCACTGGGCATTATGGACAAGCATCTACAGTGGACAGGAGTAGGAAATTTATTTTTAAAGATCAAAGTACACCTTGGGTTTATGGTTAAACAGTACATTTGGCCCTCTCATTCTGTGGGTTTGACATCAGTGTATTCAGTCAGCTGTAAATCAGCATTCAGTAAACCTTTCCATCTCCACTGAACACATACAGAATTTCACTCCTTAAATAATGCAGTATAGCAAAACCACTATTAGGTATTATAAGTAATCTAGAGATGGGAATATAGGTGAGGATATATGGAAGTCATGTGCAAATACGGTGTTTTGTGCACGGATTTTGTGTGTGTGTAGTGCTATGGGTTGAAGCCCAGGTGTGGTGTATGCAAGGTGCTTGCTGTACCACTGAGCTAGAGCCCCGAGCTACCTAAGGTACTTTAAGTATCGTAAAAAGATTTCATTCCATCTTATAGCTTGTATATCATGCCAGAAGTTCCACTTCCCGACTATGCCAGTCTAACTCATTGTTTACACAGAGCAGTGTTAGTGTAGATGGGCTAGTACTTCATGACAACATAAGGAGTAAAAGCAAGTCCTTTTTTCTTCTGTTTTTGATATTTCCCACTAGGAATGAATGAATCTTGAAGCACTTGAGGTAGTGATTTTTCTGTATACCAGGCCTCCAGTGGAATATATAGGTTTATTTCATTTCAGGTTTTTTTAGGGAATGATTTAATTTTATGCTTATTTATAATATTTATGGAAGTCCAAAGATAAAGCTACAAATCCTGGTATGTCCAAAGAAATCTAGCTTCCATCTCTGTATCCTGCATTATAATTCTTTGTTTTTTGGTACCGGGTATTGAACTTGGGACCTTGCACTTAGGAGGCAGGCAGCAGTACCACTGAGCTAAATCCCCAGGCCTCCTGCATTATAATTCTTATTTATTCATTCTTTATATTTTTATGCTATCTTTTCTTTACACCTGAATTTTAAAAAATAACCAAATCTATTTTACTTTTCTCTTCCTCATAGATTAATGATAATATACTATATACATATCCTTCTCTTCCTTCTTTTTTCACATGAATCTTACTAGCTTGTAGAGATATATTCCTTCTCAGTTGCATATTGTTTTTGTGGATCCATAGTGTTGTTTATTCAGCCATTTTTATAGTGGTGGCATTTGGAATGTTTCAGATACTCTGCTTTTTATGGTATCGGAGCTTGAACTCAGAACTTTGAGCTTGTGAGGCAGGTGCGGTGCCGCTGATCTAAATCCCTGGCCTCTCAGATACTTTGTTTTTATAAATACTGTTGTGGTGAAAATACTGAGGTAGATTCTTGACATTGTGATTGATAGAATAAATAAAACAATACCTTTAATATTTTGGAGTTTATGCTTAAGTATTACCCATTAATATACCTAAACATATATTTGGTTCTCGTCTCATTTCAAATATAAAATGTGTAGTCATCTCATAGTTAATTATATATGTCAATACTCTTTTTACAGAAGTTATTCTGGCTGTGTAACTTGTATCCTTATATGGTCTTTTTTTTTTTTATTGAGTTTATTGGTACAATCTAGGTATACAATACAGTTGGTCTGTTTTATTTACTGGTGTCTTATTGATAGATGGCTTAGTTCCAATTTTATATTGTGATTTTTCAGTGATAATATTTGGATTCCATATGTATACACATGAATATATTCAACTTTATATGAAGTGGGATCTGAAAAACACAGTGAATGCTTCATTTTTTAATATTATTGAAGTAAAAGTTGTGTTGCTGTTAGTTTTCCTCAGAACACTCTCCCTTGCTTCAAACATTTGCCTCATTCTTGTTACTTTCTGAAGCAGTTCTGGAAGTCCTCTTTGTGAGTTTCTTCATTGTGCTGTCATGGCTGCCTCAAAGTCCAGGGAACTGATTCAAAATGTTTCACGGTGCCAGATCCAGTGACTAAGTTGGATGAGGACCCACTGCAGTGTTTTTATACTCCTGGCTTTCTGTTGGGTAGCACTAAGTAACAACACTCACCACATGTGTGATCACACCTTGTAAGGACCAGGGGACTTTAGCACTGCTTCAGAAAGTAGCAGGAATGATGAGAGGAGTGTGATCGAAGTGAGGGGTGCATTTTGAAGTAGATGAATGGGAATGTGTCTCGTTGTACTAAGTTCTAGAAATTGAAACACTATATACTTTGATTACTCCTTGTCTATATATGTGTACGTGTATTTATACACACACACAAGAGGGGTGGCAAGGGAAAGAGAGAGGGGGGGGAAGAGAGAGAGAGAGAGAGGGAGAGAGAGAGGGAGGGAATTAGAATCGTTTCCTTTTAAGAGTCCTGTGCTTGGTGAGGTTGAAATACCCAAGAGAAGTAAACATTCTAACTCTAACTGGAAATGTGAGGATGTGTGGGACTAGTTGACAGGAGATGCTTTAAAAATTTTTTAGGACTTCTTTGTTTACTAATACTGTATTATGTTTTCTTACCTTGTAATACAGATAATAACTGTCTGCTTCTTTGGATCTAATTGGTTTCGCTATCATTTTAATTTGTAGGTGGATTCTGACCAGGAATTACAAGGCTCTTGCCAAAGGAACAAGAGGCAGCACATCTGGTTTCCTTAACATTGTGATGGAACTAAAAAAATGTTGCAACCACTGCTATCTTATTAAAGCTCCTGAAGAAAATGAAAGGGAAAATGGACAAGAGATTCTTCTGGTGTGTACTGCTTCTTGTTTATAATTATGTACTTGAAAATAATTTTTCTTCTGTAAATGGCATTACCAAAATGTTGATTTACCTCCTTGATGACATTTCAAGGAACAGCAGAGGAAACTATAAAAAAAGAGTTATGTTAAACAACTAGGAAAAAATTTAAAAGTACAGTATTACAGATACTCATTGAAAGGAGCATATTTCAGCAAGTATGTGTTTGAACATAATGATTAGTATATCTTTTAAATCTTCAGTCCCTGATCAGGAGCAGTGGGAAGCTGATTCTGTTAGACAAATTGTTGACCAGACTTCGAGATAGGGGGAACAGAGTCCTTATCTTCTCTCAGATGGTGAGAATGTTGGACATCCTGGCTGAGTACCTGACTATTAAGCACTATCCTTTCCAGGTAAGGTGGTTCAGTAGTTCTCTCTGTCTCTGCCTCTGCCTCTCTTATTCTCTCTCTAAAATTCTTAAGTTCCAAAAAGTAATTTCTTTTTTTCTTGCTTGAAAGAAAGATTACTTTCTTGAGATCTTGAGATTAAAGTTCTAGGAGAGTCTCAGTGTTTTACTTCTGTGCCTGTAGGCTGCTCTATAAATGAAAAAGGCCATGTGAAGACCATTCTTTTTTTAGGACAGGGTGAAGAGGATTAGATGAAAGTAAAATTGGGTATGAGAAAGCATGTCAGATGGTGTTTTGCATCTTTGAGTCTGTACTAAAAGCAGAGAGGAATGAAGTGTGAACCTGATTCCAGGAGCCCAAATCATAGAAAGTTAAAGAGAGGTAGGTGACAGGTTATACAGTTACTCCAAAAGAAATTGATCCTGGTATGAGGCTGGGAACAAAGCAGGACAGGATTACTTCAACCCTTGCTAGATCCCAAGCAGTTGGCAGTGGCCTCCTTCTTCTGTGCAGAATGTTTGCATTGGTTTTCATCTTTGCATAGTTGTTCCCTGTGGGAAAGTGTGTTTTCAGACTTCTGATATCTGTGAGAAGCTTGTCTTTGGTCTATTTATAGACATGCACACACATGTACCATTTATTGACTCGACTTTTTAAAAGAAATGGGACTGATAATTGAACTTAGCACCTTCACTATGAGCTGTGTCTTTGGCCCTTTCTATTATTTATTTATTTATTTATTTATTTATTTTTGTTTTGTTTTAAATTTTGAAATAGGGTTTCAGTAAGTCACTCATTTGCTCAAACTAGAGATCCTCCTCTTCCAGCCTCCCACAGTGCTGGGGTTAAAGGCATGCGCCACCATGCCTGGCTTGACATGATTTATGTTGTTTTGGTTATTAAGGTTTATTTTAAGAAAATAATTTTTTTTCAAGTGGATGAACTATTGTACTAACTCTCATAATCACAGTGGTTTTGAAGAAACTCCTAGGAGGCCCAGTTGTAGGACTAACAGAGTGTCTCTCTGAGTACCTTGAAAGCATTGTTACACTTAAAATACCTTGTGTATTGTACCCTGTAATAGCCATCTTAGAGTATAGTTTAATGTTCACTGTTGCCCTTAGCACAAAACAACTCAGCAGAAAAAAGATGATTATCTCTCAGTGCTTCTGATACCTGAGAGCTTTCGTTTCTACGTTATCATGATGTTGGTAAATCAGGAATACACCCTTCTATCTAGGGAATAATCAAGTTAGGGAATTTTTTGTAATTGATGTAGTGTCTTCTGTTTATGGGAATATTTAAAGGAGAGCTTTTTATTTTGGTACTGGGGATTGAACTCTAGACATTGTGTTTACAGTGCAGGCAGCAGAATCATTGAGCTAAATCCCTGGCCCAAAAGATGAGCATTTAGATTTTCTGATTTTATATGTAGGTCATGAACTTTCCATGTGCGTTTGGTTGAAGGCTAGAACTGTGGTCGTCCACATGGGTGCTGACCTGAGTTTAGGTGGCTGTGTGTCTGGTGGCCGAGCTCTGGTGAGGTGAAATTCTGTCTGCGGTCAGCCAGCACCTCTCGGGTCAGTGTTGCCTGGTGTGAAATGAAGTATTTTCATCTCAAGTTGTGGGTGTAAGGAGATAAAATGATATTGAATAATGAAGAATGCTTTATGTACATCGTACAGGACCAGTTCTTCAGTAGTTGTTTAAGAAATGGTTTCATGGGATGGGTATTTAGCTAAGTGGCGCCCTACCTGCCTTCCAAGTGCAAGGTCCTGATTTCAATCCCTGGTACCACAAAAAAGAAAAAAGAAATTGTTTTACTATGGTGACATTGTTTTGTACCCCAAACTGACATAAGCTCTGAGTAAATAAATGTTTGTACTGGAGAATCCCAGAGGCTCTCCTGAAATGATGATGTGGTTCGGTTTTAGAATACTTTATTCTGACATTAGTGCAATTTTTACAAAAGCCGATATAATCAGTTAGTTTTAACATATCCAGTGTTTCAGCAAAATATTTTCCAAACCAATTTATTTAAATTTTTGGGCTTATATAGAACTCAGTGGTGATATTTTTAGCCACACTACCTAAGAAGCATCATTTTTCTACAGGAGCTAGTTACTAGGTGACCAGTGGTACTATTTTGTAATCTCTCCAGTATCTACAAATATAGAAGTAAACCAAGCACGGTCTCTCTAAGCACAGTCTGGGCTTTCGTCTTCTCCTTGTAGGTACTGCCTGGCAGCCATTCTGATCCTCGGATCACCTAGAAAGCCCTCGGGATCAGAAGCTCCTGACCTTGAGTGTGTAACTGAAGAGCTCAGGTCACGTAGGCTGTCCTGCTTACGCACAGCCCTTCATGGCACTTTGCCAATGTGTTCCAGTTATTTTTACCCAGAGGGTGTTTGGGTGATAAAGGTTGCAACTCTAGTGTTCTATTCTGAGTGGAGCTGATCTTCCTACCTTATGATTTTCTTGTGGTTTATTTTTCCAGCGTTTAGATGGCTCCATCAAGGGAGAAATCCGAAAACAAGCACTGGATCACTTCAACGCAGATGGGTCTGAGGTACACTATGCATAGCTTTGTTATGTGGATACCTTGGATTCTATATCAAGGGGGGAAAGTCTTTCCAGCTTAGTGTATTATGTTTAAGAAACATTTTTTTGTAGTGCATTTCTCCTGTGCTGAAAAGAGAATGAGAAATGTATACTATGAAAAATGCCTATTTTGTCATCATTCCTTAAAAGCACATGTGTATTTGTTTAGCTCTACTGGTCTGTCTTAATGACAGTGACAGTTCTCTAGTGGCTTCAGGATGAATTTGTAGGCTTGGAGAAGAGGGCTGCCCAGTAGGATTTATTTCTACATATCGAACAGAAATTCCTGATCTGTACTTTCTGGTGATAATAACGTCAACAGCAGGTCTCAAATTTGTGGGGTTTCTGGAATTAAATAGTTTATTGTTGGTCCTGTGGTTAAAATTTTAAAATTGTTAAATGTCTCATTTGCATTTAGCAATTATTTTGTTGTGGATGCATCTATTTAATGAAAGCAATTACTTTGTAGTTAGTGCACAACAAATTATTAAATGCCATAGATTATGAGAGAAGTGGGGGAGAAAAGCCTTAGGGTAGTTTAAGTTAATTAAGATTATAGTAATTTGCACAGGTAAAGGAAAATAGTGGAGAGAGCCCAGAATCAGAACATGAAGTTTTTGGGTTCTTTTTGTTGTTGTTATTGTTACTGGGGATCGAACTCGGGACCTTGTGCTTGCAAGGCAGGCGTTGGAACCACTGAGTTAAATCCCTGGCCCAGCAAGAAGTATTTTGGAGAAACTGTTAAATTATGAAGTGTGGGTTCCTCTTTTTCTCCTTTTTAAAAAAAACAGAATAGATGGAGTGTGCTTTCTGAAAGCTTAAAAAGAAAAAAAATTTTTTTTTTTTTGGTGACAGGGCTTCACTGTGTAGTTGAGGTTGGCCTTGAACTCACTGTGTAGTGGCTTCAAACTCTAAGCCATCCTCCTGCCTCAGCCTCCCAAGTGCTGGGATTACCTGGCTAATAATTCTTAATGTCTCCTCTGTTCCTGCAGAATGATATACCTCTGCCTCTAGATAAACAGAGAGCACTAGTTGATTAGTAGTTATCTCATGGCATATCACATAAAGTGGAGGCTGTCTTTGGGATGAGGTTTGGACAGTTTTCCTATTTGGTTCTCTTCATTATCTTTCAGAGTTGCTAATAAAGAATTACAAAATTTTAAATTTTAGTATTTCTTTGCGTGTGTGCCTTATTTGGCTTTTTTTTTTTTTTTGGTTATGAGGCTCGGACTCCAGTCCTTGTGCTTGTGAAGCAGTTGGCGGAACCACTGAGCTAAATCCTTGGCCCAATTTAGCCATTTTTTTGTTAGATGTAGTTAAAAGGCAACATTTAGAAAAGAATTTTGATGTTTTGTTAAATTACTTTTCTGAAACAATATATTCATACTGTTTTTGTACCAATACTTTTTTATCTTACTCATAGCTGTTTTCATAAGTTTTTTAAAACTTTGTCAGTTGGATCAAAGAAAACAGCACATTATAATTTATACTATCTTTGACAAAGTGACATTGTAAATTGTTTATATGATTATTCAGTCACCAGATTTTATTTAAATTTTTACATATGACATCCTACACTGTCATCTGTTTATTTTTCAGATTCTTTTCAGGAAAGTTCCCCTTAAGAATCACTGTCTGTGCCTAGTCACATCTGTTGTTTTTTCTGTACCAGGGATTGAACTTGGGCCCTTGTGCTTGTGAGGCAGACGCTCGAACCACTGAGCTAAACCCCCAGCCCTGTTGATTATTTTTTATTGGAATTGTTTTAAGTTCATGCAAGACAGCTCTCTCCTGTTCTGCTTCTGTGGCCTACTGCTGGTGAATGTTACTGTTCATTAGAATGTGAACACCTTTCCATTGGTTACAGTGTTAATTACACCCCCTTATCAGGGTCGGGGATTTAGCTCAGTGGTTCTGCCGCCTGCCTCCCAAGCAGGAGGGCCAGAGTTTGATCCCCGATACAAAAAAAAAAAAAAATTATACCCACTTTTCAAGATGTAACCACTAATTACTGGCTGTTGAGTGCTGCTTCTGTGCCCGGAAGGCATCAGCTTTTGATGCCCGTGATCAAGTTCCCTGGAAATCTTCTTGCTTTTTTCTCCCTTGGCTTACACAGTTCTGCTTTCCCCTAACCACGTATTTTTGAGTGCCCAATGTGGCAGGTAGTCCAGGCCTGCCCAGTCATTGTTATCATTGCTCTGGAGACTGGAAGGTGTCAGTGTCCAGGTCCTTCCCGCACTGCTTTTCATGCAGATCCTCTGAGGGTTTCTTTTTGCATGTTTTGTGGAGATTGAGGGTCTTGTACTCCTCAGCATTTCCAGCGTATGGTCTGTTTATTGCAGTATTTCTGTATTCCTTGCCAGACTTAATAAATGGGTGAACATTTCTTAATACTAACTGCCTTATATGTCATAATCTACCTTCCCCTGGAAAATACATATCTGGGTAGCTTATTGGAACAATTCCCAGTAATTCAGTTTGTCTAGTTTATTGTTTTGAGTTTTTTTAATTTTTAAGATTCTTTTTGTTTTTTTGAGATAGGGTCTTACTTTATAGTTCAGACTGGCCCTGAACACTCACTGTGTATCCCAGCCTGGCCTTGAACTTGCAGTGATCCTCCTGCCTCAGCCTCTCAAGTATTGAGATTACAGGTGTGCACCACCATGCCCAGCTTGGTTTTTTGGTTTGCTACTTAAATACTATTTTTTTAGCCAGAAGATACTTTCAGTTCTTTCACTTCTGTTGTCTGTTAGATACTTTACTCCTTTGTTCACTGTGCTGACTCTTCCTCTTAATCAAATGAAAATTCCCTCTGCCATTAAATCCCTGCCCTTCTGTAGCCTTCGTAAAGTTTGTCCATCATATCTCACTTTTCTTCACACCTGCAGGGGTTTCCAGGTATAAGGGCTAATTGGACTGTGAAACTGTTTCTGAGAAGGCCACTGCATAAAGTAGTATATTGCATTGTGTACAGGACTTCTGTTTCCTGCTCTCGACAAGGGCTGGTGGCCTGGGAATCAATTTGGCGTCCGCAGACACAGTTGTCATCTTTGACTCTGACTGGAACCCCCAGAACGACTTGCAGGCACAAGCCCGGGCCCACAGAATCGGTCAGAAGAAGCAGGTTAGTAGGGAGAAGCTTCTGAATACGACTTTGAGTTTAGAGTAACAGGCTGATTCAGCCCTTGCAGAATGTTTGTGAAATGCTCATCCGTCCCTCTCCCCACAGTTTTACTTCCATTTCCCCTAAGTGCTGATTTCTTTTTATTGTGTAGTACAGAACAGAGAAAAATGTCTTTGGGCCAAAGATGAGTCTAATAAAGTCTTAAGAAAGATCTATGATGAAGAGCCTTAGAGGTGAACCTTTTCTTTCTTGTAATACAGAGTAGTTAAGTATTCTTTCATTGGTGAAAATGACCTGCTCTTATATATGACAGTATTGAATCAGAGGTACACCGGAAAACCATATGCTCCCTTTTTTTTTTTATTTGATTCTCCAGAATCTCCTGTAGTATTGGCTAACTGGTAATGTTCATATATGGCCAACTGTTCAGTTTCTGTAAAACTTTAGGGAAACTGGTTGTTCTTTAGCAGGACTTTGGTCATCCATCAGAGCAGGTTGTAAGAACAGATCTTTAGAAGCTGCTTTACTTAAGCCTGTAGCCTGCTGTAGTTGTAGTCACACCACAGTGTGACTACGCTTAGATGTATGGCTCATCATTTATAGCAGTAGAGTTTTTTTTTCTATCCCTCCCCCTTTTTTGTAATGCAGCTCGAACTCAGGACCTTGTGCTTGCAAGGCAAGCTCAGTACCACTGAGCTCAATTTCCTGCCCCCTCCCCCCTTTTAATTTAATTTAATTTTTAAATTTAATTTTATTTTTTTGGTGTTTTGAGACAGGGTCTCACTATGTAGTTGAGGCTGAACTGGAATTCACTATGTAGCCCACGTTGGTCTCAAATTCACAGCGATCCTCTTGCCTCAGCCTCCCAAGTGCTGGGATTACAGGCATGCTCCACCAAAGCCAGCTTCCCCCTTGGTTTTTGACAGAGGTAACTTTTTCTTTGATCAATCATAAACATAACATTTCATTTTCCTATAGGTCAATATTTACCGCTTAGTTACAAAAGGGACTGTGGAAGAGGAGATCATAGAACGGGCCAAAAAGAAGATGGTATTGGACCATCTGGTTATCCAGCGCATGGATACCACTGGCCGGACAGTCCTGGAAAACAACTCTGGAAGGTCCAAGTAAGTGCTAGAAAATTTGGGGAAGAAGGCAGAAGCAAATTGATTTTACGTGAATATTTGCTGTAGTTCTACCACGGATGTTGATAGTCTGTTCATTACCTGACAAAAGCCAGGCCATATCCCAAGAAGGATGGCAGTTTCATTTTTTTCTGCTTTCCTTGTTTTTTTCTTTTTTTCCCATCAGCCCTCTGTTAGTGGTCTGGCCCTTGGTCTTAGCTCCGCCCCCTGCTCTTGGCTCCTCATGGGACCGGTCACCACACAGTGGTAGCAGTGAGATTGTGTTGTGTTCCTGCCCAGCAACATGTTGCCTTTGACTTTGCAGCAGTGACTCGCCAGACTGAATTGGCAGACTGGGTTTTACTGCTAGTAGAAATATTTGTGTAGGATTTTTTGTGCTTTTCCTCTTGATAACAGAAGGATGTAGAAAGAAAGGGGTTATGAAAGAAGGGGGGTTTATTTATTTATTTTTTGGGTACTGGGGATTGAACTTGGGATGTTGTGCTTGTGAGGCAGACGGCAGAACCACTGAGCTAAATCTGTGGCTGGATATTTTGATCTGATTGTTGACAGCTGTAGCCATGCTTAAGGCGCAGTAAAGTCAGTAGTTCTTAAATAGCTAGCATGTTTTTAGATTATTTTCCATTCAGGAGGAATGTGGATGAGAAAAGCTTAGCTCTTTTTCATTTTGACTAGATTCGAGAGGGTTGAGACTTTGGGGGAATGATAATTTTCTGCATCAGAGGACACGGGGAAGTGTATTCTGTTATGTTGCTAAGTTTGTTTCTTGTGTACCCATGTAATAGATGAGCCAGCAGGCAAGTAATTAAGTTTCTCAGCTTCTACTAGGTTAACTTTACCGCCACCAACTCATGTTGTGAATAAAGAATAAGACAGTAGAGGAATCACTATTCTTGAGGCAGAATTTATCTTCTCCAGTTATTTGACTTCTTCATGGAGGACAGCTCTTTGGAGCTTATTTGACATTCCTAATAGATTACAGCTGCCTTTCACTTCTCCAGCTCAAATCCTTTCAATAAAGAGGAGCTGACAGCTATTTTGAAATTTGGAGCAGAGGATCTCTTCAAAGAACTTGAAGGGGAGGAGTCAGAGCCTCAGGTAATTTACAATGAGGGGAAACAGCTCTTTCAAAGTGTCATCTATGAGAAAAAGTTTTTGTTACTTTTGGGTTTTTTGAGACAGGGTAGTTCTCTATGTAGTTCAGGCTGGCTTGGAGCTCACTGTGTAGCCGGGCTGGCCTCAGACTCACAGTCACCCTCATGCCTCAGCCTCCCAAGTGCTGAGATTACAAGCATGCGCCACCATGCCCGGCTATGAGCATAAATTTTTGGGGATGGTCTGTTAGACGCTTTTATAAGGTAAGAGTAAATATTTGCAGGGGCACAAGTGTTTTTTCTTTGAAAACTCAAAGCTCTTACTAAATTGAGAAGGAAAAAATGAATAAAGCGTTTAAAAATTCTGTCTTTATTTTTCCTCTTAATTTTATTTAAGGTTTGCACAAATAGTAGATTGAGACATTAGATGAAAAGGATATAGAACAGAAACTAAGAATAAAGAGAAAAGTCAGAGAGTTGGTTTATTTGTATCTAACATTTTCAGTAAATGCTGAAGATTGTTGCCTTTTTGTTGTATCCTTGTTGCTTTTTTTCTTTTAGGAAATGGATATAGATGAAATTTTGCGTTTGGCTGAAACCAGAGAGAATGAAGTATCAACAAGTGCCACTGATGAGCTTCTGTCACAGTTTAAGGTATGAAGGTCTTTATGGTGCATTCTCAGCTGACTAGTTATTAATTACTGACATCTACAAGCACATCCTTTGTGTTAGTTTCTCTGTTTTTTCTTTTTTGTGAATTGACTGATAGCCTCAGTATCATTGAGTTATGAGTACATTGTGCATGGAGTCTGTGTACTTCCCACAAAGGTAATTACCGAAGTTGGCCATCCTGCCTGGAGTCAGCATGCAGAGAAGAAGAAGTTGATGAAGAAGGCCGAGAGTATGTCATTAGTGGGCTAAGTGGAGAATGAGAAGCGTGCAGGAATGCGGGCACGTTAGTCAGACGCCAGAGAGATGTGCTGGGTGTGAGAACAGTAGGTGACAACTGGGAGACTGTTGACTTGGTGAGGTTTTCATTTTTACTTTAGTTTATTTTTGTAAAAGGAGATAAAGGGTGGTCAGTGGTGCCTGATGAAATGAGATCAGGGCTAAACAGGAAGTGGTACCTTTGAGTATAGATATTATTATTGTTGTTATTGTTATTTTTGGTGTTTTGGTTTTTTGAGACAGGGTCTCACTGTATTGTTGAGACTGACCTGGAACTCACTATGTAGCCCAGGCTGGTCTTGAACTCACAGTGATCCTCCTGCCTCAGCCTGTGGTGTGCTGGGATTACAGTCCTGCGTCACCACTCCCGGTGGGTATAGACATTATTAAAAGGCTTAGGGAAAGTAACTTAATGGATATAAAGGGACCAGGCAAGGCCAGATATTAGAAACATGTTAGCATATTTCTAGGCTGACTGAAGGACTTTGAGAATAGGGAAATATTGAAGGTTCTAAGGAAGGAAGATTTGGTGGTACACAGCCCTGGGGGAGAGTGGAAAGGGTACAACCAAACTTTGAGGGAAGACTTGGCTCTGGGAAAGGAAGCATTCTCTTTAGGAAAGGGAAGAGATGTGGGAATTCAGTTTGTGATGCTAATTACCAGTAAAGTGTAGTGGAAAAGATTTGGGGCAGCCATGGTGGGGCTGGGAGTTGGGGGGAAACTTGATAGGGAGTCATCTGAACCAGATGATACCGCTTTGCTGTGTAGCCAGCCAGCAGGATCGTATGACTTTCTCCAGCAGTACTTGAGATTAGAGAAATTAGATCAGTTTGTGATCCTTAGGGAGAATTGGCTAGGGAGATAGGGGAAGTCAAACTGGAAAAGTTCTCCAAGATGCAGGTTGATTCCGTGTAATTAGAAGGAGGTGCAGGAGAGCTCTGGAGGTTACAGTGGTGGGCGAGTACAGCAGCCCCGAGCAACAGGCGGCATTGTGTTCAGACGGAAGGAAGCGGTGCTGTGCTCCATGACTGGCCACAGGTCAAAGCCGTCTCGAACAAGGAGGAAGTAGAGGGTGGGTGGGGCAGAGAGCTCAAGGAGTACAGTTTATATGTGTAGAGGTAGAAAGGGACAAAGGTAGATTCTTGGTTTTTGCCAGTTTGGGCTGGTCAGGGTGCCAGTATAGTCAGATTATGGTGAAGGCTGTCTTCTGAGTCACAGACTGCTGTAAATAAATGTGAAACAGTTCTGTATAAACTCATTTTAAGGTTCACAAAGTCAGGAGATAAAGTCACAGACCAAAAGGAAGAAGTTATGACAGTATTTATTGGAAATAATAGTAATTCCTGGATTTCCAGGAGGGGTCCCCTGAGGGTGGCCACATAGGCCCTCCATCCAGAGCAAGTGGAGCATGGGATTAGTGTCTAAAGTAATTACAAACTGCTTGATTTGAGAGGATGGTCAGATCATTTTTGGAGCAATGTTAGAAATTGTAACTCATTTTTGTCATAGACTCCTCCCTGCTTTTTTTTTCTTTTCGAGCCATGGTCTCACTCTAGTTCAGGATGGCTTTTAACTCACTCTGTAGCCCAGGCTGGCTTCAAGCTCTGGCAATCTTCCTGCCTCTGCCTTCTAAGTGCTGGAATTATAGGCATGTGCCACCATGCCTATAATGCCTAAATCCATGTCTTGGATTTTAAAAAAATCTTAACTGTTAAAATCATGATGTAGGGCTGGGAGTTTATCTCAGTGATGCTGCCTCCTGCTTTGCAAGCACAAGGTCCCGAGTTTGATCCCTGGTACCAAAAAAAAAATCATGATGTATACTTGTTAGAAGTTAAACAGTTAATTCTGGCCAAAAGCCATAAAATTGTGTTTTGATTTCCCTGTTCCAAGTGCCTGAAGGAATGGAACCCCAGAAGCTTTTTGGTGTTTTCTTTGTAGTTTTCAGGGTTAGGAAGAAGGCATGAAAAGGTGGAGCGCAGGCCTGGGCCCTGGTATACCACTGCTGCAAGACTATCCAGAGCTGATCAGTCTTTCTCTGTAGCCCCAGTCTGGTTCTGTGAAATGTATACATTTAGATGTTTTTGTTTTTTATTTTCCCCCCCTGGTCTGCGTACTATTTTAGTACTAATCTGTATCAGATATTAGATAATATTTTATGTGGAATAAATATAATATTCTTGTAGGGTTGTTCAACATTGTTCCATTTTATGTTTTCGTTTTCAGTCCTAAGACCAAAGTTCACTTTAGAACATATGCAGTCATTGCATGAGCTTAATGTTTGTATCTTTGCTAGAAATGAGTACAGTGACTGGTTGACTAGATGAGTTCTTTGAATGATACATTGTTTCACTTGACCTCTATTCATCATGGATTATTAAGTATTCGTTTTATAATTCACATAAATTATACAATTAATGTTATATTTATTAGAAATACATATGATTTAGCATTTTTCAATAAAACTTATGGAATGGTTTCTATCCTTATGATATGGTATTTGATGCATCCAAGATAGATTCCAGATCCTTGTGTAGGGTGAGCAAATAGTTGCAAGTATACACCCAGTGGTAAAAGAAAAAATATCTCTTTTCGTTGAAGATAGCAGGAAGGTGTGCCTGGGTGGGTTCCTGCCAACAGAAACAAAAAGGTGTCATGAATGGGGAAAGTGGTGCTGGATTGGCTGGGGAACAGAAGAAACAAGAGAAATTACGCTTTCCTATTCTAAAAGACGTGTCCTGGGTTTCTCTCATTGGATCTCTCTGGATAACATTGACAAAAATGATTGACAGGTGCTAGTCATCTCAGTGTGCAGGACTCTCCCAGAATTCCCTCTTTTTATTCATATGCATGGTATTCTGTCCCTGTGTGTGATCCTGTATTGAAGGTCTAATGGGGAGAAGTTTACTAAAGGTCAGGCCATGAGATCTAACAAGGGATTTAACAGGCACATGATCTGGCCTTGAGCTTTAGAAATTTTCTGGGTCTTTGTTAACTCTTACTTCATTTCTTTTAGGACAGTGATGGCGAACTTTTTAGAAACTAGGTGCCCAAACTGCATCCCAAAACGAGCTTATTTATCGAGAAGTGCCAACACTACATTTAAACCTGAATAGAGGTTTTAGTTTAGAAAAGCAACTCATGCTTTAATGTCTTTTATCTTAAAGGAAAATGCAATAAATACAATAACAGATTTCAATGAAACCAATAGCCTTTTATGGAAAGGTAAAAGTTTGCATTTGGCATCCTTTTGCACAGTTAATGTGATCTTTGCTGTCATGTGCATGCTGATACTTTGTCAAACCTCGACTCATACTTTGTTAGTTTGAGAGCAACACATGCAGCACTCAGGTCATCTATTATTATTCTGTTTCTTGCCTCAGATTTGATATAATTCAAAGCTGAAAATGGCTGCTTACAAGCATAAGATGATCCAAATAAAGTAAGAAAAGCCGTTCCAAGTACTTTCATTGATTTAACAATTACTTGTCAGGGAATTCCACACTTTGAGGATTCCATTTTCAGAAATACCAGCACTACTGTCCTTTGTCATCCCTTCATAATATATTTTCTCTTCTCAGCTATTTTTCCAGATACAGCTTTCTTGAAATTCCAATAGCTCCATTTCCAAATTTCCAAAATATAACCAGTGTAAGCAGGAAAGATGAAGCTTTTCAAATTGGGCTTTACCTAGAGAAGTAAGGCACAGGATTATCAGACACAACTGTAAAAATCTGTTACTAAAATTCTCCTTTGCAGTTGATACAGAACTAGAAAATTCCTTGTAAATTTCCTGGTGGCCTGTAGGATTATCTGCAAGTGTAGAATTTTCTAAGTGCATTTTTAGATTTGGAAAATATTTCAGCTGCCCACTTTCAAGGTCTGGGGAGACTCGGGTGCCAACAGAGAGGGACTCTGGGTGCCATAGTTCACCACCAATGTCTTGAGGCTGTGGGAAGAGGATTGGCCCTGAGGTGTTGCCCAAATTCAAGTGGATGGAGAGGGAGTGGTGTCCTAGCCCCAGTTGTACTACCTAGTACTAATTTTTCTCCGTTTCAGTACAGTTTCTGGTGAGCTTATTATGGGTTTGACAAGTTGATTTAGTGAGATATGAGAAGAGATAGCAGAAAATACATTATCCCATTATGTAGTATCACCAGAATCCTATGACAGTGTCTTACTCAAAGCACTGGTTAAGTTGATGTTTTATCAGAGAATTTTTTTTTTTTTTTTTTTTTTTTTTTTTTTTTTTTTTTTTTTTTTTTTTGAGACAGGATCTCACTACGTAGTTTTGATTGCCCTGGAACTCACTATGTAGCCCAGGCTGGTCTCGAACTCACAGTTATCCTCCTGGCTCAGCCTCCCAAATGCTGGGATTACAGGTGTTCGCCACCAGGCTTGGCTTTCAGAGGGTATTTGGAAATGGAGATATGTCAGTCAGTCATCATCTTGTCTGTTTTTAGGTTGCCAATTTTGCAACAATGGAAGATGAAGAAGAGCTAGAAGAGCGTCCTCACAAGGATTGGGATGAGATCATTCCAGAGGAGCAAAGGAAAAAAGTAGAGGAAGAGGAGAGGCAGAAGGAACTGGAAGAAATTTATATGCTGCCTCGAATTCGTAGTTCCACTAAAAAGGTGAGCAAGTGAGATGAAGGTCATGGAAGTACAGTACTTGTGCTGTGGATTCTTCTGCCTGGAATGCAGATGAGTCCCAGAGCGGCCGTGTATTGTTGCCCTCACTCAGTGTGAGAAGCCAGAGAGAAAAGGAGAAAGTGCACAAAATTTACAAGCACATCTGTAGAGACATTTGACTTTGCAACCCAGCTTCTTGTGAAATGGCAGGAGGGGATCTGAGTTCTATAGAAGTTTGCGTTTTGCCTTTGAGATTAGAACTGTAACCCTATAGTTTGGTTCTGATTGTCGCTGCCCTTGGCTTCACTATACCTTTTTTTTTGATCTTTAAGTGTTCTCAGCATTTGCTATAGATATTTATGTAACAAAATACATAATTTAAAACAAGGAACATTCATAGGCTTCACACCTTTAAAAAAGTACCTTCACAGGCATCGTCTGTTTGACTTTTGCAACAGTGAAGTGGATAAAAGAAGTTACCCATTTTTGTTGGGGAGAGTAGACTGAGTCCTTCACCATAGTAAGTCAGTATTAGGTAATACTAGTTACCATTTATTGTGGACTTTCTATGTGCCAAGCATAGTTCTAAGCACACTTCTACTTACTCATTTAATTCTCAGGAACACCCTGAGTTATCTGAGCTTTTTTTTTTTTTAACAAAGGAAAAAATACAAAAAATTAGGTACTTGTTCAAGGAAATAAAGATGAACCTGTTTTATACTGGACATTATATGCATTAGATAGTAACTGCCCAGATATTTAATCCACTTTGTTTATTATTACATTACAGTGTCTGTAAAAGTGTTATCTATCCCAGGCAAGTTTTCCCTCGTTCCGTGACAAGGAACATTGTCTTTCATGGACATTCTGAGTTCTAAAGAACTGGAAAGCTGGCCTTGCTGTAGTCCTTTTGATTCTCGGGCCTGACACATACATGCTAGTGTATGACTAATTCCTCCACATTCTTTTTCAGGCTCAGACAAATGACAGTGATTCCGACACTGAGTCTAAGAGGCAGGCCCAGAGGTCCTCGGCCTCCGAGAGTGAGACAGAGGACTCTGATGATGACAAGAAGCCAAAGCGCAGAGGGCGCCCCCGGAGTGTGCGCAAAGACCTGGTGGAGGGGTTCACGGACGCGGAGATCCGCAGGTCGGTGCAGGCTCTGCTGTCCTTGGAGCTTGTTTGGAAGGGCTGGTGGGATTCCTGGCATTTGTGCTGGGGTGGGCAGGTGTCACTGCCTACGAAAAAGGCAGAGGAGATGAATTGTGCCTAAGGTCTTCAGGGTGATTTCCTCTGCAGAGTTCGCCCCAGCTGAGATCTGCTTTGTTGGTGTCCTTTTGTTTTCCTCTTGTTCCCTGGTTTTTCTGAAGATTCTCATGAACAAAGAAGTTCAACCAGGGGAAAAGGAGGGGGCACTTTGCTGTAACATTCATAGGAAGTACTATGACTGAAAAGCGTCCAAACAGGGCTGTCCGTCCTTACGCTCTAGCTTTTGCACCCTCCTTAGACCCAGTTTCCTTAGTGTTAGCGCTGATGTCAGTTGGTGGTGGTTTGGTTCCTTTGGTTATTTAGTAGGGCACACAACAGGTTTGGCACTGTGTTTGTTTTTGGTGTTTCTTTTGCCACTTGAAATCCGTTTTTTCCATCTTCCTGTGACAGTACATACTCCACATTTGCTGGTATCTATTTCATACCTCTGTGCTCTCCAGAACTATCTAAAATTGTACTTTCAAATCAATTTTCTTAGTTTCCCTGTTACTGTTTTTTTAAAAAACTTGAGGAAAACAGGTAAAAGTATAAAAAATAGTTACTTTTATGGCCCTATTTGTTTTATAAATAGCCCTTTAAGATCAATATATTTGAAATTGTGAGGTCTTTATTTCCACTTAAATGTTTTTCCTTCTTTGTTACTAGAATATAACTATACTTAACGTTCTGAATTTATAGCACATCTACTTCCCCTTGCTCCTCATCCTTAATATTTTGAGAAGAATGTGTTTTCTGCTGTTGGGTGGAATGTGTAAGTTTATTTGGTTTAGTGTTTTTCAGATCTTCTCTATTACTCACTGATTTTCTGAGGAGCTCTGTTACTGAAAGTAAAATGTTGAACTTTCCATTATTCTTGTGTTACCCATTCCTTCTGTGCGGTCAATTTTTGCTTTAAGTGTTTTGGAACTCTTGTTAGGTACATATATTTTTATATTGATATCTCTTCTTGATAATCTTTTTTTATCATTCTAAAACTTTTTTGTTTTGTTTTTTGTCTCTAGTACAATTTTTGTCCTAAAGTATATTTTTAATCTGGTATTCCTATAGCTACTCTAGCTCTCTTTTTGGATATTTGAAGTAAAATTTTTTATCTTTTTAATTCAATCTGTCTATATCTTTGAATCTGATTTGTGTCTCATAGTATAAATGGATCTCTGTTGTTTTCTTTTTGACACAGGATCTTGCTTTATAGTACAGGCTGGCCTTAAACTCACTGTGTAGGCTAGGCTGGCCTCAAACCTGCAGAGACCCTCCTGCCTCAGCCTCCCAAGTGCTAAAATTACAGGCATGTGCCACCATGTCCAGCATGTATCATTTTTTTAAAAAAAAAATCTTTTCTGTTGATCTCTACCATTTTATTGGAATCTTAATTCATTCACATTCAGTGTAGTTACTAATGAGATTTATCTTTGGATTTTGCTGTTTGTTTTCTTTTTATTCTTTTAGTTCTCCATTACTTTTTGTGAAAATAGGTATACTTTAGTATATCATTTTAATGACATTATTATTATTACTCTTTTTTTTTGTTTTGTTTTTTAGTTATATTCTTGGTGGTTGCCCTGGAGATTACAAGTAACATCTTGATTTACAACATCTTAATCCCAATGGTTTATACGAAACTTTGCTCCAGTTATACCTCATTCCTCCTCCCTCCTTTGTGCTGTTGTCACACAAGGTATCATTGCACATTGTAAGCAGCCTGCTTATGCAGTCTCATAAATATTGTTTCATGTCATTGTCTTTTCAGATCACATAGAAGAGTTACAACTAAAAATACATTTGTTGTGGTATCTTTGTATTTACATCATTATCCTACAGGTGCTCATTTTTTCGTGTGGTTTTAAGTTATTTAATGTCCTGTGGTAGTTGCCTAAAGGACTCTTTAGTATTTTGTTTGGGAATATGTCTCTTAGTGGAATTTGTCGATGGTTTCTGTATTTGGCAATGTCTTCATTTACATTTTTGAAGGATAGTCTTCATCACCCTGGATAATCTCTGTTGGCCCATCTTTATGTTGAGTCTTCTGCTATTGAGTATTATCTAATTTTTTTTTTTTAATTTCAGAGACTACTTTTTCAACCCCAGACTGTGTGTGTCCTTCCAATTTGTTTCTATTGATATTCTCTATTTGGTGATAATGTTACTTTGAAACTTTAATTCTTTGGACATGGGTTTCTTTAGTTCGTGAACATATTTATAATAGCAGATAGTGTCTTTGTCTTGTAAATCCAAGTTCTAGACTTCTTCAGGCATAGTTCACTGCTTTTCCTGGGTACGTGCTCTTTGTTTTGTCTGTTGCATATAATTTTTTGTGTTGTTTTCATTGTAAAGTGGACGTTGGAAGTAGTTTGGCAGCTCTGGAAGTCGAGTCCCCTGCTAGGCTGAGTTGCTTTTCCTCTTCACTCGTTCAGTGCTTTTCCTGGACTAGTTCTGTGATGTTCATGTTCTTTGCCATTCAAAGCCTCTGCTCCTTTAATTGTGTGGTTACCTAGTGCCTAGGTAGAGCGTTCCTTAACTGCTTTGGGCTGGTAATTCTGCGGGCCTTTGTTCAAGGGAGTGTGTGTCTTCTGGTGTGTATGGTGCTTGGGATGCTGTTAATATCTCTGCTTTAAGCTTCAGTTCCTGTGTGTGCAGATCGTCAGAGTCAGCCAACATCGAGAGGTCCTGACCTCTCAGATTGTGCCTGTGCTTTCACACACCTGAAAAATGTGTGGTTTTGGTTGTTAGGAATATGGCAGACCTTTTCAGTGTGCCCTGTGGTGGACAGCTTTCTCCACAGTTCTTTCTTTTCAGCTTTTGATTAACCTCTTCTCATCCCCAGCTGGTATTGTTTCCCCAGGTGCCTGGATTGTTTTTAAGCCTCTTCATCTAACTGTTTTTGACCAATGAACTGTGGGTGAGGCTGTCTACAAAGAGTTCTGAATCAGGGCAAATACAGGTCAGCCTGAGAGGGAGCTTTTCAGGATGCCCAGTCAGGCCAAATGCCACTGTTCCCTATGGAATAGGGCTTTTGGGATGCTCCAAGCCTGTTCTTTGCCCTCTAGTGGCTGCTGTTTTGCAGGGTGGCACAGCTACTGTAGTTGCAAAGGGGAAAGTTTTCAAAGCCTTGTAGATGACTGCAAGTCTTTGCTTAATTTCCAGAGTTCTGACTGTTTATTTTAGCAGTTTTTGCCAGTGTTCTTTTTGCTTTTATGGAGGAGCTTTTTTATTTTTTAGGTCCTCCCTGCCATTCTGGAAATGGTTTTTCTGCCTACGATTATTATTTCTGCTACTATTTTCATGATGTTTGAGTTTGAACTCAGAGCTTTGTGCACCCTGTCATCTGACAGAGTCCAAGGCTGTCCCCAAAGAGGAGATGGGGAACTTTGGATGCACCTCATTGTGGGGCAGGCTGCACGTTTGCTGACTTCTGCCATAGGAGAGGGATTTTTGGGTTGTGTCAGTCAGAGGCATAAGGAGTTCATTAATCAGAGTTTTAAAAGTGCTCACACGAAGTGAATCGCAGGCCCTCAAGAAGGAAAGAAAGGTACCTTGTGTCCTTGGGCTGAGTGTATTTATGGGGTTTTGGGGCACCCCTAAGATGGTTTCTCCAGGATGTATACTTTAGTGTCTGTCAGGTTTTTCCCATTTCAGCCTAGTTCATGAGCAGTGTTAAAATGCAGACAGTTAGAAGTGTTGGAAGCTAAGATCTGCTGTCCTCTTGATGGTGAGGGTTGGGAGGAGGGAGCACAGTGTATAGGTGAGAGACACAGTCAAGCAGACCCCGGTTTATAGGCTGATTGTCCTTCAGGCCCTTAGAGATTTTTCCTGGAAGCAGGGAAAAAAGCTTGAATAACTTCTGTGTCCTGAAGCTGAAGTTTTTCTTAAAAAGTACCATTTTCTTTTTCTCTTTTTATTCTGTCTTACCTCAAGGCCAAGGGTTCTGTCACTGAGTTAAGCCCCCAGTATTAGTGTTTTTTTTTTTTTTTTTTTTTTT